CTGTGAGAACACTGTACTCAAAATACGAGGGTAGCATCGCTAGCGAATGCACGAAACATTTTGAGACTACGCTTCAGATGTCATTCTCGTTCATGATTGCCTCCAGCTGCACTTCCAAGTCATCATGCGGACTTTCAAGATCCATGCCCGGCTGTTCGAGAGAGGAACGTGCCAAATCTAAAGGCTTTGCTGCGTCCGACGGCTCATAAGGTTTTGCGGCATCAGACGGCTCAAAAGGCATTGCGGCATCAGACGGCTCAGAAGGATCTGCTGCATCAAGCCTGAGGAGTCGGAGAGTTTGATGGTGAGGACGCGGCCCCTCAAGGATTGCTTGAATGTGGTGGCTTTCAAGGTTGCTTCTGCCAGTTCTTGCTTCACATGCACCTTAGAAGCAGAAAATGAGGGATGTTAGTTAGGGGATACACAATTGTAACTAAAAGAACAAACATGCTAGATAATTCAAAGACACCTTCGGCTGCTCAGGCTTCGTCTCGTCGCTTTCCACTTTGGCAGCCTTTCTGGCAATATTATTCGTTCAATATATATGAAGCTCCAGTAGACTCAGTAGACAGAAATGTATGTTGAAAACATTGCAACCTACAGTTACCAAACTGAAAGCACATATTATTGCATACTACCGTCGGAAAAGAACCTGTACCTTTACTGAGGTTACATACATGTGATACTATATACTATGTATAACTGGAAACATAAAGTATTGCATACTGCATTCAGAAAGCATTTGGGTCTTCACGCTTGGTATCGTCGTCTTCGTGCATCGTGTCCTCTGTGTCCTTACCCATGTTGTTCTCGTCCGGAATACACAGCAGAGAATTGGAAGATTTAACGGACTTGAAGCGTTTGGCGGGCGGTGGCTTTGATGAAGCACTGGCCTCCTCGAAGTAGTGGATGGTCGTGCCTGAGATACCTGCGAGATCTGGACGGACTTCCTTCAGGTACTTGCGACCGGTTGAGAACTCTCTGCCCCTGATTGTGTAGCACAGGGGTACATCTTCGCCATCTAGTGCAGCTTGGAGAAGGTTGAGGCTCCACTGGAGATCATCTGCATGCTGAGGTGGAAAAGTAGAGAGGTTCCCTTTGAGGTACTGGTCATAGGTTGAACGCGCACAGATGGATATCATGCCTTTATCGTCCTCCGGCCATGACATACGACGAATGGGTTCCCGATCCGTACCGGGTAAACGAAGGTAGATGCCAATTTCCGTCACGACCACGAACACGGAGCGCTTGAAGATGCCAATGAGGTCTTCCTCGTCAAAGTCTCTGTGAAACGATGGCCTCACAATCTTGAAAATCGTCTCGAAGGACACGGTGTCGCTGTTGGCGTTGTTGGGCATGGGAGGCTCTGCTGAGCGATCGTATGGATTTGAGCAGGCCTGGCACAGTTGGTTCTTGGCATAAGACGCGGCATTCCAGCGAGCTATGGTTTTTCGGTCTAGGCCAGTCACCTCCGTGATGGCCTTGACCGAGGCTGGGGACTCTAAGTTGAGATTGCCATCGTCGAACACCCTTGGCTTCGTGCGTCTGCCTTTCTTCCGGAAATAGTCCAAATGACTAGCTGTTTGAAATGTTGGGAGCTCATGACCGCGATCTTCTTGAAGCAACCAGAAGGCCGATGTAATTGCTGACAAAAAAGTATAGGATACAGGGCTCATGCCTACGCGAGATTTACCGATCCAGATAATGGCGTGCTCCAACACGTGGGGCAGGATAGGGGCCACGATGGAGTTCAAAGCCCAAGGCGCCAGACTCTTGAAAGTCAAAGGCCAATCCTTGATAGTATTGGCCTGAGACCCTTGGTCCGCCAGTCACCTAAGGAACTCTTTGATGGTCCCTCTATCCCACTTGTGCAAGGGGCTGGCTGGATTGTTCACCTCCTCCTCGGTCCAGGAGGTGAACTCTCCATTCGCGTTTTCCTGTGGGCCAAATTTGCGAACATGCTCGAAGCCCTTTCTAATGTCATCAGTCTCCCTCGGAATTTTGTTGGACGACCCAGCAGGAATCAATTTGAAATACCGTACCTGGAAGCCACCCAAGCCCTCGAGCATGTACTGGAGTCCGCGTGAGCCTTCACGGAAATGCTTCTGAAGATCTATTTCACATGCCCTGCCACTGCACATGTTGAGGATGGTTGTTGGTTCACCTTGGTGTTCTCAGTAAACTTGATGTACTTGACAATGTGGCAGACATTAGAACCTTGCGGAAGGATGAAGAGCTGCATGTTGTACGGGGTCTGGTTGTTGCCCTTCATGCGGACGAGGTCTAGCAGGTCTGCGTAGTTCTGCTGAAGCATGAGAGTCTCGATCTGTTTGAAGTCGAACTCACCCATGTGACCCATGATGATGTCAAAGAAATGGTTTTTCTTTTCCAAGGTGTCGCTGACGTCATGTTTGGCCGGAAGATCTCCTACACGTACAGCTCCTAATGGCTTGTTGACGACAATGGGCTTCTCGAGTTGTAATAATTTCATACCATCCGTTTGCCCGATCGCCTCTTCGAGGGTGATTGTGCCGTCCAAGTTAGCCGGGTCCAAGGATTGGGCCAGAGAGATGGCGTTGCGAGGAGGAACGCTGGCCATTGGAGCAGTGATGAGGCGATTGAGACGAGGCTATGAAGCTTGATGAAGCTTACAGGAGCTGCGACATGAATGAACACATATGCTTGCAGACAAGGAGATCACTACATTTCTCGAAACAGTCCAACAACACGAAATGGGCCATGAACCAAGCATATTCTTCGAGACAGTCTCAAAAAAAACAAAAGCGCCAAAGCCAATAGGCCACGAAATGAGCATATTCTTCGAGACAGTCCCAAAAAAACAAAAATACCACAACTCATAGGCCACGAAATGAGCATATTCCTTGGGACAGTCCCAAAAAAACCAAACATACCAAAGACCACAGGCCATGAAACGAGCATATTTTTCGAGACAGTCCCAAAAAAACAAAAATACCAAAGACCACAGGCTACGAAATGAGCATATTCTTCGAGACAGTCCCAAAAAAACCAAAAAGACCAAAGACCACAGGCTACGAAATGAGCAAAATCTTCGATACTGTCCCAAAAAAAACAAAAATACCAAAGATTCCAAGCTATCGGAGCTGTCTTGAGAAATGGCTTTTGGGATAGCTCTGAATCTTTGGTATTTTTGGTTTTTTTGGGACTGTCCCAAGGAATATGCTCATTTCGTGGCCTATGAGTGTTGGTCCTTTTGGTTTCTTTGGGACTGTCTCGAAGAATATGCTCATTTCGTAGCCTGTGGTCTTTGGTATTTTTGGTTTTTTTGGGACTGTCCCAAGGAATATGCTTGTTTCGTGGTCTATGAGTTTTGGTGTTTTTGGTTTTTCGGGACTGTCTCGAAGAATATGCTCATTTCCTGTTTGGTGTTTTTGGTTTTTTGGGACTGTCTCGAAGAATATGATCATTTCCTCTTTGGTGTTTTTGGTTTTTTTGGGACTGTATCGAAGAATATGCTCAATTCCTGAATATGTTCATTTTTGATCCGTATGCACTTCCACATGAATGTACATGTACAGATACGCGACGAAGCGGACTACCACCATACCGACTCACTGACTGGACATACGCATGTACGACACACATACAAAAACAAGAACGGAAGCGCAGAAAAAAAAAACAAGGAAACGTGGAAGATCTCGTGGACAAAGTCGACGGTCATACCTGCGGCAGGGCTTAGGGCGTGGATTCCGGGGGGGGGGGGGGGTGGGGGGGGGTGGGGGGTGGGTGGGGGGGGGGGGGGGGGGAACCATATATATATATATATATATATATATATATAGGTGTACACACACACACGAAGTGTATACATATGCACACACACACATATATATATATAATCTGACGAATGCATCTCTAATTAAGCATATGTAAATTCATATATATATACACATATATATATATATATACATATACATATACAATCATATATATATATGTATATATATATATATATGTGTATGTGGCAGGAACCTTTACGTATAGTGTGTTGCTGTTCTTTTTGCTACTATTAAAACTGGTCTACACACCACAGCCTATTATCATCATTATTATGACAACTACTGCTACTACTACTACTACGAAGACGACGACGACGACGACGACATCAACGACTACGGGGTTTGGCGTTTGTGGTGGTGGATTTGGGGTTGAGCTCTTGGGGTCTGAACCTTACAACCCCAACCCGAAAGTCAAAGCAGCTGACTTCCCAAGCCTTCAACCTTACAACCGCAACCCGAGATTCGAAGTAGCCCCCCAAACCATCTAAACTATCTAAACCGGCCTGCCCCAACAAACTATCTAAACCTTCCTCCAGCGGACCCAGAGCAACTATCTAAACTATCTAAACCTTCCTCCAGCGGACCCAGAGCAACACATTATACAGAAAGGTTTCTCTTACATATATATATATATATATATATATATATATATAGGTGGTTGTTAAAATTAGGGTCCCTTTTTGGGTCCCCATTATAGTACGGCACCTAGTATTTAGGATACCCCAAAAGGGACCATAATTTTGACAACCACCCATATGATAATTGAAACATTCAAAACGAGTGCACTGAGTACCCATCGGTATGTGTAGAAGCTGCCAAATCGAGATTTCGAAACGCTTCGTGAAATTACTAGAAGAGCTCGAAGAGCCCAAGACCCATTTCGTGGAAGCTCGTGTTGAAGTCCAAAGCTTGATTTTGGGGCTGGCGGCTTGCTTCAAGAAGCCTTCAAACAGAGCGGCCAGCGACAAATGGAGCTGCAAGCTCCAAAACGGATCTTCTCGGCCCACCTCTATCCTCAAAACGCTGAGATACCAGGCAACTCTGGAATGATGCAAGCGTGTGTACGTGTGTGTCAAGAGAAGTGTTCATGGTTCCTGACCTTAACTGTATGTTGCAAAGCGCAGCAATGCTCTCCATTCGGGGGTCAGACAACTCATGCCTAGGAGTGCCTGAGCAGGCGGCTTAATGCAGCGAGCAAGTGACACTCCTTTGCTGGTTTTCAGTGTACGAAGCCTGAGGCGACAGAGACTCTGAGAGGCTCCGTGCGCACGCAAGCGGTGGCCTGCTATAGAGCTCTGGATCTCGCTTGAGCAAGTCAGCCACAATGCTGTTGAAGCCTCAGAAGCAGGTGACAGCAGGCGTGCCGCTTTTTGATGAAGTCCTGCCTGAGAGGTCTGGAAGCTCCTCAGCGGCCAGGGACGCGCGACAAAACACACAACACACAGTCACAAGTATGAACATGTGGCACCTCCGGACATTCATGGGCAGGAAAGCCGGGAACCTGTGCACGTCGCCGTGCCAGCATCCCGGATGACTAGGACAAGCTCTCCTCTGCAGCTCCGAGTCCGGAGGTGTCCTCGGGAGCCTCAGAGCTACAGTCGAGAGATGCCGAGAGCCTGTTGACACATCCCGGCCCCGGCCTTCAGCATCGACAAGCGGAAGTTCTCTGCCTGGCACCAACATCTTCTGAAGCTGCGTTGCATGGCATTGCATGCTGCAAATTGTTTCCTTCCGTTGGAACCGCTCCCTGCCATGGTGTCGCATAACCCTTCAACCCTCAGCGAACAACGAACCTCATTTACCTTCAACGTGCCTCGTGCCAAGGCCACCTGTCCGAAGGAACAAATCCCAAACTAGATGTTGCTTCCAGCACGGGTACCACTTCTGTTTGTCTCTTTGTTGTTGTCGTCTTGCGAGCTTTGTGAAGCTGCTCTCTTATGGCTTATGTGCAGCATTGGTCAGACTTGAATGAGCAGGATGGAAAGCTGCCAGAAGGCTAGTGAATTGGTGCTCGTTCTGCCCTCACCGCTTTTCACAGCAAGAGGGAGCCCAGTTTGTGCGCCTCCGTGGCTAAATCCAGGACTTGCCCCGACTTCAGCTGCAGCTCCAAGTCATGCATCTTTCGCACGGCAGCAATCAAGCTGTTGGCCTCCGCAAAGCAGATCTTCCGCATCCAGAATCCAAACCCCATAGCTCCCCCGAATCGCCTGCTCCACTTCCGAGATGTTGAGCTGAACCGCGTTCGAGATGTCCCAGTTTCCATCGAATGTTGGCCGGACCACCCTCTTGGCCTGCAGTCAGCTCATGCTCCGCCTCTCTGCCTCCCTGCTGATGGCTCCTGGCTCCGGCCTGCACACCAAGGGCACGTGCCAGATCAGCAAAGCCTTCGTTCCGTCCGAGCAGAGGAAGCGTCACTCGCACCTTCGCGCCTGAGCGCGTGTTTCTGGTGATCGTGTCGAAAAGACAATGTCAACTGAAAAGGGCCCAGCGAAAAGCAGTGCCAAGGTTGCTGGGGCAGGTCGTCAGAAAGCCGAGACCTCTCTGTGCAGAGAGCAGCAAAAATGGGTGCAGAGAACAGGCCGAGGAAACGGCGATCACTTCTTGCGAAGCTGTGGCCAAGAGACTGTGACAAGGACTGTGCCAAAGCCTGGTGGTGAAGCGAAGCAGTAGCAAAGAAGATGCAGAAGCTCAGAAAATCTTCGAAGCCTTCTCTGCGGCGTACAAACTGGCGAAGGCGGCCTGGGAATGTCGGCATGAGGCCCTGCAGGTCTTCTCGCATCTGGGCCTTCAGATCGCCGTCGTACCGCCGAACCATGAGTCGCCTCAGACTCAGACTTGAAACCTTTCCTAAAACAAAGTTGCACACATTTGGACTCAGTTCCTGGCAAGTGATCTTCGTCGTTAACCCAGGCAGCGAAATCTTCTCTGCGGCTCAGGAACACGCCCCGAGCCTGCACTAGGAATTACATGCATGTATCAACACCAGAAGCGAGACTCTCCGTGTACTGTGATCTGCTGCGTCGTGCCTGTGGCCAGTGTCTCGCTCTTCCGGTTGCGAGAATTGATGGAGCGTCTGGTGCCTGCGAGCAGTGTAGCTGGCATCAGCTCTCGGGAAACAAAGCGATTATGTCCATCACCCGGCAGCACTGTTTTTCTCCTCAAGAGGGCAGCAGCAAGGCAAATTCACCTTCGGCTTCGAGTGACTTGATTTGTGCTAGAAGATCGTCCCCCAACTCGACATTGAGAAGCTTCGCCCGGAGCAGAGTTCTCTGGGAACCCCTCAAATCTCCGTGCCGAAGAAGACGCCGCAAGCGCAGCACTGTCTCTTCCTGCACGTCAGCAAGCTGCCGCTCTCCCAAGAAGGGCACCTCGTCCAGGGTTGGTTGAGGCGCCTCTTGTGGGAATCCACGGCCAGGAACACCGGTTAGGGTTGTGGTGGGCGGAACAGGTTTTGGATAGGCTGATATGGGCACTGCTTTGGCCACAGGAGCAGCTAGGTCCGTTGCAGGCATAGCTGCAACGATGGGGCGCCGGAGATGTTCATGGTCGGGTGGCAAATGCTTCATGGTCTTGCTTTGATTGGCTATGTACTCCACCGTCACGCAGTCCTTCTTTACGGCCACCACGTCACCCTTGCACCATTTCGCCTGGGAAGTGCTGAAGCACTCCACGGCTTCTCCGACCCTCCACGGCCGAGCCGATTGCACCGGAGCTGTCGGCCGAGCCGGCTCTGCTTTGGCACGCTCAGCCTGTTCGCGCTTGAGAGCGCGGATCTTGCCCGTGACAGGATTTCGCTGTTCCATCTTGATGAAATCAACGACATACTCCGTCTTGTGGGGTCCCAGTCGCACGGGAAGCGCATCCTTAGCTTCAGCCTTGGCTTTCTTCATGGCTGCCTCGAGTGCAGTTGCATCTTCGGGGGAGAGGACATTCCACGTCCCACCGCCTGCGAACGACCATTGAACGTCGGACATACTCAGCGGCTGCTCTTCGAGCTACTCCGTCGAATTCTATCCTTTGTCCGAGCAATGCCGACCTTCAGAGAAGAACCTCCCTGGACAATCTGTGAGTTGTACTATTCAAGCCGTCCATCACAAAAACTGACTATGCCTGACAAAGCCCAATGCTACAGTTACAGGAGGCAGCTGCTCTGAGTCTCTGCATGTCAATGTCTCTTCTGTGGTTCAAGGCTTCGAAAGTGATTGAAACGGGACCGGGGAGGACCTCGAACAGCCATTTGCGCTCTTGCAGCTTTGCTTCCTCCGCCTCCGACATACCGGGCCTGCTGAAGCAATGAACTCCAGGACATCAGCGAATCGCGCTATCCTAGGTATGTATTTTGCATTGTCTTGAGATGCCTTGAGCTTGTGGATGTAGACCCTCTCAAGGGCATGTACCTCGCAGTCTTTACATATCCATCCTCGTGAAGCAGAGCCTTCTGCTGGCGAACTCGCCAGCAAACTCCTCGGGAAGGGCAGCCAAGGCCGCGCACAAAACCTTCTCAACCTGACGGGATTCGCCGGCGTACCCAACAACTCGCTACCGAGTAACCAGGGCGCCTTCTGTCGATCATCCAACGACATGGCCGGCGTGAACCGGAATCGCAATAAATTCCGCTGCAGAGACACCTGGTGCAAACAAAACTAACCCGTCTCAGATTGCTCAGAAGCTCAGGGTGTGTTGAGAAGAGCCTGCACACTTGCCACACTCTCTCTGGCTGTGCTTAAGCGAGTCGAAAGCTCCTCAACTGCCAGTGCGCTCAATGGCACGACTAGCTCGCACACTGATTGATTCGGCCACGAGTAAGAGCGAAACAAGGAAGAGGAGAGTATGTTGTATGTTGTTATCTAATCTTGCTGCCTCAGGGGGCCAGCTTTTTTCCTCATCTTGCTGCCTCAGGGGGCCAGCGTTTTCTAATCTTGCTGCCTCAGGGGGTCCAGCTTGCAGGTACACAGTTCAGCGTCCTGAACTGCTTCCCACTCCATGGCATAGCTTCGTTGCATTGGGTCTGCTGCCCAATGCCCCTGCACTCGTGTGGGAGTGACCCTCTGCTCCCATGTGCTAGGGAGGTTCACAGACACACACACACACACACAAGCCCTGCAAGTGGTGCCGTGCTTTCGTTCCAAAGTTCGACACCAGTGTCCTCGGGCTTGTTGCACTGCACATGGTGAAGTGCACCCTTTCGGTGCAAACTCTGCCTGAGAACATGAGCCAACGATTCTCTTACAGCACAAGCAACATGCCAAATGCCAGCTGACCGTGCCATTCGGCCTTGCCAGGAGAATGGGGTCAAACAGTGCCTGGAAGACGTCATAACCTCGGAGCCACGACAAGTGCAGGAGGTTATGTGTTGTGTTCGGCCCAACCCAAAACCCCAAAAACACAACAACAGAAGATGATGGGTGGTAAACGTTAACAGCAAATGGTGTTATGATGCGACCCGCAGGATACCTTGCGCGTGGCGGGTGGGACCGTGCGCTACACATGCAATTCGGAACAGTTTGGCACACAAGGCTCTGGCAATGCGCATCGCCGGCTGCTGCTCCGATTACACGGAAGAAGGTGTGCCCCGGGTTGTCCATCCCAGGCTTGATACATCTGCCAGCGACATCAAAGTTCCCTATTCCAGCGCTTGATTCTTGTGAGCTTCGTGGTGTCCGTCCTCGCCAGGGAAACTCCCAAAGGTGTCCGGAGGTCCTCGAAGCGGTCAGGGTAGAGAATGCGTACCAGGCCATTGCGTCTTTGAGGGTCCTTTATCCGCGCGTAGATGGCCGGGTCGGATGTGAGAACTTCTGCCATCAAGGAGTGGTGCCTGCAGAAGCGCAGCGCAGCAACCGCAAGGAGCTCCGGGGCCACGAAGCGCCCGATGCGTTTGCGCTTGATGCCTCGAGAGATCGGGGAGATCTCGTGGGCACGCATCGACCTCAGCCATCCCCCATCTCTCTCTGAGCAATCAAGAAGGGGCTCTCTCTGGCTGCCGCCGGGGCCACTGGAAATCCTGGAAATTCGATGTCGCCAGTGCCTGGCACCTTGCCCTCACCCGGACCCGTCGGAACGGCACCTTACAGCGTTCGTCTCTTCCCTCCCACACGACATGGTCCCGTGTCCTGGTCTCCCACCTAAATCGACCTCCTCCTCTGCGTCATCTGCAAGGTGGAGCTGTTCACCACGTTCGAGCCTGGCCTGGCATGCACACTCACGCAGAGCCAGCTACCAGTACAGGCGACGCAGAGCTCCATCTCGTCACATCGCCTCAAGCTCCAGAAGTGCGCGACAGGCCTCGATCACGGCATTGACCTTTACAGGGCATGCTCCACCCGTGTAGGGCCATCCCTACAGACAACAGGGTGCCTGCTCCACTTCCGAACATCCCAATCGCAAAGAGTTTTGGACCTGTTTGGAGGACACTGGACTGGACGCGGCAGACGGTTTAGGCAAAGCGCCTCCCAGACTCCCTGGTGCAACCCCATCTCTGTGTTGGCACAGAGACTGGCCTAGAAGCAAGGTGAAACAACCAGCAATGCTCGGGTGTTGCTCCAAGCTTCCCGCTTGCAGCTTCAGCTGCTGGCAGAGATTACGGAACCTGGGGCAGACAGCTCCCGCACCAATAACAATTTCAGACCGCTGGCGAACCATGAAAGTCGTTGGTGGAGTGCCATTTCAGCCCAACATGTGCATACCATCTGACCGATTGCACGAATGTGCAGAAAGATGATTTGATTGAAGGTCTACATCCTCGTCCCAAGTGCAAGACTTTTCGCCTCGACTTGCCTCTCAGCTGTGACCTCTTCTCCTCACATGACGACCGTCTCAACTCTTGCCTGTCCTGTCTTTGCGTTTCTTCACTGATGATGATTCTGCTCCTGGCGCTATGCTCCTATCTGTTTTCAGCGCTGCTTGTCTTGGGCGCAGCTCGGCAGCTCGCTGTCGGGGCACCCCAGTGACAGTGCAACTGTAACGGCTGCTCTGATGGCGCTGTCCGTTCTGGGGGTTGGCATTCTGTCGATACCGCACACGGGGGAAAGGTTGTCCCACAGATGGCTCGCCCGAACATCCCGAGAAACCGTAGCTGTGTGCCATTCTTGCGATCCGAGGCAACGAAGGCGATGAGTACTCCGAATGGGATACCCGACACGCCCCACTTGAAGGGTTATCGACGCGACGGGCGACGTCCTCGCAAAGCACTTCTATCTTCTTTCAGGAATGCTGCACGAAGGATCGGACTCTTGCCAAATGGGTATTCCGGCCTTGTTTATCTTTTTCAGGCTCGGGTTGTATTTGCCCAAGCCCCTGCCCGAGGGTAGCTAAAATCCCAAACATCTCTAAAACTCTTGACCTGCTTCAGGCGTTGAAACGGCTCCGTTGCCACAACGGATCGCAAACTGAGATCAGAGCTCCGGCTGTTTGCTGAGAAGTGGAATGCGAATAGCGACACCTAACAATGCAAATTTTCGGCCCTCCTGCAATTTGCACTAGTCTCTAGTCTCAGGGCCACACTGGCAGTCAGACAGGTCCCCAAGAGCGATGGATCCGGCCCGAGGAAGCCTGGCCAACATGCAGCTTGCAGCTGAAGCAAGAAGTTTTCGAACACTAAGGCGAGCCCAGACGGCCGAGACGATCGTCCCGGGCGAATGCCAGCCCCTGCGAATCCAGCTCCGCCTGCGACTCGGCTCGGGGCGAAAACGTGAGGACAGACTGCGGAAGCGATGCAGCGCCATGCAGGGCCTCTAGCGCGGCAAGGACGGAGAAGACTCGCTCACACCTCGCTGACAGAGATGCTGACCGTGGCGGTGCTGACGGCCGCGACGTGTGGCTCGGCCGTGCCACTTTCGTGCCCCCCGTGGTCCCGGCACAGCTCTCAAGCTGGGTCGGCTCGACAGGTCGGTGCCAGTGACCCGGAGATGGTCCAGCTGAGAGCGCTCTTGGACCACAAGAGATCGAGCCTACGGAGCCTATACGCATCCCTGCGTCAGCCTCGTTGACGAAGGCTGCAAAACTGCGATGCTCATCAACGAAAACTCCACGAGCATCAGGCCTGAGCAACTTCGGTACACGTACCATCACCGCATTCGCGCAGTCCCAGCAAGGGAAGTAGGGGTGCAACCACTCTCTGGCATATCCAGAAGAGACCAACACCTTGCTCGGTATCGCAATCTAACATCTACCGACGGCGATGCGGCAAATTGGACCAGGCACAGAGGAGTCTGGCTCCTCGAAGAGTAGACCCTCTGCATGCAAGTCCAATTCCTCTTCCTCGCCTCAGCAGTTGGTGGTGATGGCAGTGTTATGTCCAATGTGCACAACTTGCAGAGCATCTGGCTCATTCCACCAGGCTTGGGCATGTAGCTGTGTGATCCACTCAGTGGAAAATATTCACCCTGAAATGGCACGAAGTCAAGTGGCACAGCCGGCACAGCAAGAAAGAGAGAGCGCAGATACCTGCAACGTGCCGGTCAAAGAGGACAAACTGCGGGCCTGAACCAGAGGCGCGTTCCCCTCGCGGAACTGGTGCGCAACCGTGCCGTTGTTGAGGCCATGACAAGTACGCTCTCCACAGCCCGACGCTCATCCACACTGCAAGCTGGCAGCATCCGCGACCCGTGCAAGTTTCGGCTCACCCGGATTCGAGCAAAAACTGCTCGATCACCTGATGCTGAGGTGCTCTTGATTTCAAGACTCGCATACACCACAGCTCACCACAGCCTGCTTCAGGCATGTCCCAAATCTTCCATGCATCCATGTCCGTCCTGTGGCACGAATTGCTCTAGCCAGGGGCGAGGGAAGCTTTTCCAGCGGAGGGCTCCTGTGCCGGAAGCCCGACCAGTTCGGATGTCGCATCCTGGCACCGGCTCGGCACACAATGCAATGATCGTGGAGGATCCGATGTGATGCCTGATGATGTCGTCAAAGAGCAAACTGAAGGTGTCGTATGAGTGCTCATCGCCTGCCACTGCACCAACCTCGTACATGGCAGGAACAGTGTCGACAGCCAGAGACAGAAAGAAATAGAGAAAGAAAGACAGAGAGCGAGAGAGAGGGAGAGGGAGAGGGAGAGAGAGAGAGAGACAGGGAGAGACAGAGAGAGACAGAGAGAGAGAGAGAGGGAGACAGAGAGAGAGAGAGAGAGCGAGCGAGAATGAAAGAGAGAGAGCGAGAGAGAAAGAGAGCTCATGTCTGACGACGAAACAGTATGATGATGACGAAGAAAATGAAATGGAAATTTTGGTGCCGCGTATGCCAGGCACACAGGCATTGCATACTAAACTGAGTGAGATCATCCGCACGGGTTAAGGTTTCGGCCCCGCTACATCAGACACAGGGAAAGATGTAGCACGAGCTGAGACGGAGATGAAAGTTGATATTCGCTCCCTAAGCTATCCTATCCCCACGAGGATCCATGAGCGAGCAAAGCAGGTACGTTTTCCTGGTGTCTAGGGGGAGAGCTTCGTTGGACGGAGCTCCCCTACATCCCCTCCATGCCTCTGCAAGATGAACAACGACGAGTAAAGGGGAGTGACCCAAGGCAGTTGACACACACACACGATGCACATGCACATGCACAGACACGCACGTACAGACGCACAGACAGTGTGCACCCGTGACTCCGTGGTTGCATAGATTATGGCATAGACATGCAGATAACCATGAACAGAACTCAAGTGATGCTGTATATGCATACACACTTACTTACAGATGTTGCACTGTTCTCGACTATTCAAAGGACGTGGGTGTAGAATACACTCCGAGGGCTTGAAAATCCTCAATATGGCATTGCTCCGGCTTTTGATTGGTTTAACGTGCAGCTGACGGCTTAGCCATACGCGAAAACGTCATATCTCGGATTGTCGATATTTTGAATGCTTTTGTAATTCCATATGTTCAGATAGCCGTCCGAAGACTGAAAACCTTGCAAAGCTTGTTCCGAAAGGTTTTCATTCCGAGTCGTCATGCTCCACAGCATTCGGAAACCACCCTCTCCTCTAACCCCGCGATTCTTGCTCCGATTGGTATGCCAGGTCTTCAAGATGATGATCCTTTAGCAAGCTGTCTGCGATTTCTGTTGAGAACTGACAAACCTAGCGACACTAGGGGCCCCTGGAATGTTATCCTGAGCTGAGTACTTCTACATATCTTGATGCCAAACATAGTGAAGCACACAAACAAGCATGAGTTGCACCGACACTGCCGCTCCCTCTCTGTCAGTTGGGGCGCCGGCTGTTTTAATCATTCGGTGGCCAATGTTGTCGAAACAAGTCTTTATGCAGTTCGCAAAGTTGACACCCATCGGTGTACATCTGTCCTGAAGACAGCAAGGAGCTGCAGCTCTGCCCCATGCAGCTAAGCATGCACCACACCGACAGTTGTCGCACAGCACCCCATTATGGACTGGAAGCGGTCGCAAGGCTTTGCGTCATGTGCGACAGCTGGCTGGCACTAACGGGGGGAGTGGAGAGCACGGCGTGGAGAGCACATTCAGGGCTCGCTTCGCTTTGCCTTGAGGGTGTGGTAGATGGACGGATCTCGTCTAAGGACTTCAGCAGCGAGGCTGTGCCTGCTCTCTGAAGCCTCAGCCTCTCTTGAACAGGAGAAGAGTCAAGCCTTGCGGCCCTTGCCTGTCGCTGATGTCCGGCATCTCCGCAGGACAGACTTCTCTGGGAAACTCTGCAGGACTGGCAGCGACCGCGCTTGTCGGAACTGGGTCGGCCTGGCAGGATGGCTCCCCACACGCTCAGCGCACCACGCGGACCCTGCTCGTGCTCTCACGGCGGCCTCGCCGGCCTCGCCCTTCTCGGCCGCCACCAGCTTTCGACAGCCAGCGGCAAGCGTGCCCGCAATCGTCTCTGCGGATGCATGTGCTGTTCGAGCAACAGCAACCTGAACTGCGGTGATCGTACATTCCCACACTCCGTGCTGGTAGCACATGTCAGGCCTCCCAAACGGGCATCCGCTCACCCTCTTCGCTTAACTCGCGGCGCCGAGAGGGTAACAAACCTGCGCATAGGCTTTTGCTTATTACTGCTGCTGACCTATAGTAGCGGCTGTTTCTGGTGCGTATCTTTTGGGCCCTGGCCACTTTGTCTGCATAATGCCTGTTACACCAAAAAGAAAAAACAAAACACGCATGCACACCCGCGCGTGGGCGCATAGAGAGAAAGAAAGAAACAAAGAAAGAAAGAAAGAAAGAGAAAGGCTGAGAAAGACTGAGAGAGCGAGGGAGGGAAGGGAGAGAGAGATCCCCAACTCTTCTCCTACTGTAGTGAGCCATGTCGCCTTCAGCTTTGGCTCATCTGTGGATAACTTGGGCAGAAGCAGCCTGGCAGTCGCCTCTGGAAGCGCGTGGCGCGGCGGCGCGGCGGCGCGGAAGGCAAAGGATTTCTGCGGTCAGCGTGCCCGCCGAGTGCCCCCCGTGCCTGCAGGGCGCAGCCCACGTTGGCTGGGCAGTGGCTCAGGAAGCCCAAGCCTTATGGCGAACAGCACAGCACAGCGTGCTGAAGGCTGACAGAAGGAGCGGAAAACACCCAAAGGCTCCAGCTCGAGGAGCTGAAGCTCCGCCCTCCTTCCTGCGATAGCTCGAAGGGACAGCTTTCTGTAAGTGATCGTGGAATTCGAAAGCCACACCTGAATCCGGAGTAAACCCATCTAACTGCTGCTCGCATCGTGCCTGTAGTTCTGCACGGAAGTCGTCAGGAATCGCTCTTGATGGGTCCCGATACACACTGCTGTGTCATGTCGTGACCCTACACGATAATGCCTGAGCTTCCGCAAGCTTAAAGACATGCTCTCGCGAGGTCTCCGTCCAACATTGATTGGCTTTAAAGCTCTCACTCTACAGTACACGGCCGTTTTTTCTGTCACAAAATCTCGCTTGTGAGCGCTGACGGCGCATATCAGGGGGGCGGGCCTCCAAAGCGACGGCGAGGGCTCGCTCCAGACGCAGCGTCCCGTCCAGCGCCTCGGCTCGTGCGCCGTCGTCACTCTTGTTGCCACCGTGCTGCGGTAGCTTCTGCTTGTTTCTGGCTTGTGGCCTTCCAGACATCTCCGTCTCTTCTTTGATAGGCCATTCGTATGTGGTCTGCCTGCACAAACGTAACATCAAGGACCTGGACATCCGAGCTCATAGATGCATCGACAGCCGGCCTCGTTCACGAAGACGGCCATCCCACTACCATTGGTGAAAACACCTCGCGCCTGAATCGCCAAAACACTGTTACATGAACTTCGCAAACCGATTGATGCCAGGAACATTCACTTCGTCAACGTAAGATGGCACAAGGAACCAACAACAAGAAGAAGAACTGTAACAAGAACAAGAACCAGGCATGCTTTGTATTGCTTCAACGTCTGGTTGGTGCTATGGTACAGCTAGTTTGTGGCATGGGCATGAACAAGACAACAGAATGTTCTGCAAGTCACAATCCCTCGCCGGTCTGGAAGCTCCGAATCTATCACCTCGGCCCTCCATGGAAGGTTCGAAAGGATCGTCTCGAGCGGTGTAAACATGTATACAAAATGCCACCTCCCACACTCGGCTCTTAACAATCAGCATGACTCTTTTGCGATGCCATCACGGAAAACACTCCGACGAATGACAGCTCTGTGCTTGATCATTCGCCTCCCAGCATGGAACCACATTTCCTGCGACACGCTGCCTATTAAGCGCGAAGCATGCCCCTCTATCGGAACCTTTCATCTCACGGCCGGATGGAGGAAGGGAGTAAGTGGGAGGCTGGGTCAGTGAGGGTCCAAGATAAGTCTCGCAGTTTTAGGCTGTTCGTAGCAGTGTTTTGGGGCTTGTCAAGATCGGTTCTAGCAAACCCGAAGGAGGGAACAGAAAGCAAACACACAATGTGCACACTCTGGCCTCTGGCCAATGTCTACCCAGGCCACTGGACAGGAGCAGCCCCGATTGCGGCTCTTCGAGCAGTTCGCCAGCAGCCTGCCAAGAAAGACATCCAGACAGAGACGGGACTACACGTAGCCATGTCGATCTGGCTCTTGACCAACTGTTCGAATCGCGGCTGATCAGGTGTGATCCAAAACTCAACAGCTCCCATTCACGGACGTTAATTTGATACCTTGGCATCTTGCTGACTGCTTCATCAACCTCTGTCCATCTATCCATCTACCCATCAATCTACCTACCGTGCTGTCTGACCCTATCTAGTCCATCCATGCCTCCATCCATACATGCATCCATATCCGTGCATCCATGCAGCCATCCATCCATCAATCCCTCCATCCAGCCGGCCAGCCAGCTAGCCAGCCAGCTAGCCAGCTAGCTATACGTGCAGATGCAAATTTATACACACACACACAAAAACACACATTATGCCAGCACAGTCGAAAACAGTGAAGTTTATTTCACAGAATATATTGTCTCATATCATGTTATATTCTATTCGTACTACATTATACTGCATTATGTCGTGTTGCATTCCCCTGTAGAATGTCATAGGATGTCATGCCATACTAGTGTTTTGTGATGTTTATGTGTATACCCATTTACATGTATGTATGTATGCATGTATGTATGTATGTATGTATGTATGTATGTATGTATGTGTTTTGAATAACTCTTTGTGTAGAGATAATACATACATACATACATGCACATACATACATACATACATGCATACATACATACATACATACATACATACATACATATATAGATATACAAATAAGTGAACAAATAGATAGTTCATGTACAAAACTAAACAAACATAAATAGGTGAAATAAAACAAAGATAAGTTATAAACAAAATACGAATGTATATATATATATATGTATATATATATGTATATATACATATTACACATGGTTGCGCAATGCTGAACAACTTAGATTCGCCAACCGCTCCAACATGATTGGCGGGACACAGGGGAGGGTGGGGCACCCGCCCGGGCGCAACCGTTTGTATGTATATGTATGTATCTATTTGTACCCACACGTGCATACATGTATGATAGATGGGTGTTCACGTCGATTGCTCGGTTTTCCCTTCAGATGACTCGACTCCATCTGGGGCTCCTCGGCGTGGTTCGGAAATCCGGCCGTTCTAAAGGCGTTTCGGAATGTGGCAATGAAAAAATCTCGCTCCCGCCACACTGTCTTGCATGTTTTGGGCGCATGCAGTCTCCCTGTCACAGTCCCGTGCGTGTCCGCTCCACAAATCGTTGACATTTTGGGTGCGATTTGTGGGGTGCCATATCGGGCTCCCATCGCAGCGTGGATTTTTTGGACTTAAACCAGTTGGTGGACATGTTTGGACTAGTCGGGCTGGGGCTGCAGGTTTGTCAAACTATCTGCTTCTGTTGCAATGTTTTGTATTGTAGTATATGATGTTGCACTACAGACTTGGAGCCACAGGACGAAAGCTCTATGATGGACCGGGCTGCAGAAAAACGATTCCGAGAGACAAACATGCACACATACGTTACTGACATTTCAAAGCACCGTGGCCTTGCTTGAGCCCGGTGTCGCAAAACAATCAGTTTATGGAAAAAACATGAATCGGAAACCCCGAAACCGATCTGAAGTTTCATATAAGAATAGCGTGAAAAACAACGAAAACTCTGCAAAACCCAAGAAAATGCATTGGTTTGTACATATCATTCTGGGCTTTTCGTACATTTCGGCCAGCCGCGATGGAGCACCGTGCAGATTTTGACGGCAAGCGGCGGGAATCATGAATTCTGGAAGCTGAAGGAAGAATACAAAACAACATTGAAATCTAATGACAACTTCGGTGGAAATCGTGGAAAAAATCGAAACCAATGGCGATCATAATGGATGACCACAAACCACATTTTGTTTCCAATATCTAAACCCTCACGACCTTGAAATCCAAATTTCCCGAAATTTACTTCGTGTCGGGGGGAAAGGCTTCTGCAAAGGATGTGGTTCCTAACATACATATCGAAGACAGACAAACGAACAGACTCCCAGATGGACATAGACACGCACATACGTACACGCACATGCAGACATACATTCAGACATGCGTGCATATAAACAAACATACAGATATACATACATATTTCTGCATGTAGACATACGTACATACAGACATTCGCAGATACAGAACGGTATATATGTCCATACTCACAGAGGCAGACGTATGAAATGCATACTGTGGAGACTAGCCACAGTATGCAAGACAATCCAATGCAAGTCCGGCCGAGAAATGAGCTGCACCCACATGACTCCACATCAATGCTGTCAAAGAACTGAAAGCGACCTTGAAGCAGGAGCACCCCTGGAGCCAGCATCAGCAGCATCAGAAGGACCCTTGTGCCAGCATCAGCAGCATCAGAAGAAGCTCTTTTCTCCTGCAGAAACCCTCCCAAAAGAAGACACCGCAAGAATTCTAGCCCAAGAAACACTCTGAGCCAATGCGGTATTACATGACAACCAATACAACAAGATACAACAAGTAATATCATACGTAGAAAGTATATTCTATGTATAGTCGCTATATTATGCAGTGTTCTGGTATATGTTGAAGACTTGTACTGTTGCATATTTTGGATTGTCTAGTATAAGCACAGGCGTAAAAAGTATATAATTGATATAGATTAGATGTTTAGATGCTTATATTATGTATATCTCTATATACACACGATCTACTTCATGCTAGAAATATAAATATATATATATATATATAAATAAATATATATATATATAGAGAGAGAGAGAAAGATATACGTATACATAGTGTAGAGTATATACAGTATGTTGCATGTTACATACTACTTATATACCTTGTCCAGCACATATTAAAGATGACATTGTGCATACTGCATAGAACATATTAGACTTTTAGGGGTTAGATAGCATGCATTGTATACCGTGCAATGTACATCCATTACATTCTATGACATAAATATACGTACATATATGTATATGTGTGCGTGTGTGCTAGCGTACGAACTACAAAGTGTATTAACACAGGTATAGTCTCAAACATTCGGCTGCCTTATACACATACCATATTTCACTTTGATATACAGTGCTATACTACATTGCATTTGTACTGCATACAGCATTTTCTCACGTCATGTTGTTGTATGTTCTACTGTAGTCTATTCCGATCTATACTAATAACTCGAGAGCATTATCTTGTGTGATATTAGAAATATACTATTGTTGAGATAACCGCCACGGTCAGGACGCCCTCTGTGCCTTGAGCTTCTGCTCGGAGGAAGGCGACATCCCCTTCGGCTTCGATGGATACGTCTCAGAGCCACGCCTCGCAGGGAAGTAAGGCCACCCTTTGCCTCCCTTTCACATCTATCGGTGCTGAGTTGCAGAGGGAAGTAGTCCCCGCCATTTAGCAACTCATCCTGCGACGAACACGCACACCACTTGTCCATGTACTGACTTCACTCTTCGGTCCTCCACGGAAAGCAAAGCCTCCAATGCGAGTCGCTCGGCCTCTTTCCTCTCCTTGCTGTGAAGGGTCGTATGCTTTTTGTGCTTTGACTACGACGGCCTTCTAGATTCTTAGACACTTCGAGGCCTCTCGCTGAGCTGATGGTGGCATCTGAATGCCACGAATGTTGCGGCTGCATGTCACCTGCCGACTTTGATGGCTTACTTAGTCTCTGCATGGACCAAAACGATCTCCAGCCTGCACAGACAGCAGACTGGCAGAGAGAGCTCTCAACGATTCGCCTGCCTGTCAAAACAGAACTGCGACTTTGGTCTGAGAATGCCTGAGCTATATTTGCATTCAGCTCGCCTGTCGAGTATCGACGGCGCTCGGCAGCTGCACATCTTGCAAGATGCTCTCGTACCATCTGTCCATTACCTTCAGTCATGGTTCGGACAGTGGATGAAACAACCACGCACATATTGCTTGACTGAACGCAGTGTGAGGCTGTAGCCGACCGGAAAAGCGGCTCGAAGACCTCGAAGCAGGTCTCGTCCTCAAGAGTCCAGGTGGGCGTGAGGTAGAATGAACGGTTTAGGCCACTTTGGTCCGCACTGCGGCGATGAGCCCGAGAGTGCGCAGAATGGGGTGCCCTGCACAATTTCAGAGGACCACAACACCGCGAACCAGGGGAATCCTGCTGCCCCACCTCTGTTGTCTATCCCAGGCTTGATGCACTGCGCCAAAGAAACACCATTTGGCGTGCGCACGTCCTGGATAGCTAACGGCTAACGCATGCCAGCAATAAAAGATGAAGAGTTCTGGCAGCTCTGTGAGATGGCGCCTTGAGATGTTCATAAAGCATGGGCTGCTCTCTGAGCACATGCGCGAGCGTGCTGTGGTGACGAGACCTAAGTCGCTACCGGGTGGCACAATTTCATTTTCTCTGCTGAAGACGCAGGAAATTTTAACCACAGGTACGAGTGCGCGGCAGATCTGGAAGCGGCTGTGAACCGTCTGATGGGAAGCCGGGGTACTGGCAGGATCAGCCCAATACGTACACCGGAGAGCGGCTAGGCGGCCAGGCTTGCTTCATCTTCCTCGAGGCACAGCCCACCTCGGCATCCCCGCGGCCAGGCATTGCTGACCAGTTTGGCAAGTCCTTTGCTGCGTCAGTGGTGGGTCCCCTCGATCCGGGCAGTCTTTACTCAAAACTTAGGCCTCTAAGGTGTTGGCGTCCTCATCTGGACCCCTCGCCTCGTCCAACTTCGCACCGCTTTGTGACCGAAGCACTTGCCTTTCCAAAACCCAGCTGAGCTGCCGGGAGGAAAGGCGAAGGTATCGGCGTCGGCCTGTTCGCCTGGCTTGCCTGACGTGTAAATCTCAGGGACAGAAAGCAGAAGGCGGATTCGGCGCCTGAATGTAGCCCAGCATGAAGGAGTACGGATCAGAGGGTCGGTTAGACAGCAGCTCATGGACCATCCCCTGCCTCGAGATGGCAGCAATAAAACAAGGCTTGCTTTCGGCAACCAAGGTTCAGGCAGCACTCGCTGAACGGAGTGGGCCTTGATTTTCGGAGGAAAGTTCATGTGCTTTTCAAACTCGACATCCACAAGACACGAGCCTCTAAATACTGCTGAGCATCTATGGCTGCCTGCCCAGAAAGGCCAATAGATTTCTGAAAAATGGAGGCATCAGCAGCACCTGGTGTCGGGAGACCCGCTTCTTCGGCTCCGGGATCTGGGAACGCACCTGCATTCGCAAACGGGCACTGAGACTGGGCTTCGAAGCTTCCCTAGCCTTGGCTTGCATGTCGAGCACGATCTTGCCATCCCTGCCAGGGCGGCTCGTCTCCCAGAAACTTGGCTGGGGCACGCTTGGACTCTCGGGGCCTTCCTTGCAACTGCACAAATCCGCCGTCGCAGTTCGACAACTCTGAAATACTCACCTTTGCAGAACCCATAGCGCTGCTTCAAGCACAATAACGGACAAGCTCCAACATTGCCTGAGCCGTGCCAACTTTTTCGAAGACATCAACCACCTGTCGCCAGCCATAGCCACGTTCTCAGAAGGACACTACTACTCTGCACACAAATGGGGCTGCCGCCAGGTGCCGCGGCACTTGCTTACCATCGAACGAGAAGCATTCGCCTGCAAGCACAAAAGCTCTGGCGTCGCATCGTTCCTGGATTGACACTCACCACGCACCTGGCTTGTACTGAGTCTGCTTTCGCCTGGGACCAAGAAGTGTTAAACCAAAACAAAATGCAGCGAACAGCACATTTGAAGCCGGCCGGGGTATCGAAGAGACTTATCTGGACGTTTCAACAGGCTTTGCTGTCTTTCATATGTGGTTGCATGGCACTGGGTGGGACACTTGCACAACTAGAATTTGTAGCCGGAAACATGCTTTGAATTGGTCTGACTTTCCTCTTCCAATTGAGTAACAACTGCTGGTATAGCTCAGGGGCCCTAAGCGGCAACGGTGAGCAAAATTACGTTCAAGATTATGGTATGCAAGTGGACCACAGGGAAGTTTCAGTCTCACCTAGTCTCATGTGCCGAACGAACTATTGTACAAACTAGCCACGACTAGTATTCCTGACAAGCAACACCATCTGCACGTGGCGCAGGTGCTTACTCAGCTGTTATCGCTCTAAACTTGGAAGATCTTGGAAGTTTAGCCATTGCAACAACCCCGGCGATACGACTCAGTCACAGTGGTCCGCCTTGAAACTGCTATTGTTCATGTCTGAGTGCTGCAGCGTTGCTGGATCCACGATACATATACCAGTACTACCGTTTCTGATTATGAAACCTGGTTTCTTGGATTTCTTGCAACAAGCTGCAACTTGGGTAGCTCTGTCAACCCAGTCTCCCCGATCTCCTTCAACCGGCTACAAATCTACCGTTCTTTGGCCGTCCTCAATAACGACAGACTGCATAAAGCGCTCAGCTCGATCTATTTGGAGTCGATTATTTTGAACATTGAACCGTGGTACATGCATCCGAACTCGGATGATCTGCAACGCTTGGCAGTCCGTGAAAACGACGTGCGGTACTTGGGCCTTCTCTAAAGTTTCCCATTCGGCGCCCCGCAATCCGAATCCATAGATTTCTGCAAGTGTAGCTCAGATTCTGTTTCCCGCCTCCTGTGCGTTTTGCAACGCATGGAGGGTTCCTTTGCATACCTTTGCATACCCACCTCATACCCTGATCCTCTCCCGTCGATCGACGCCCTTAAAACGTCGTCGACGTACGTGGTCATCACGCAAAGTATTCTCTCGTTTCCCGATAACAAACCTGGAAAGCATTGATTGATGTCCGTCCGAAACGATGTGGAGTCGGAGAGGGGGGGGAGTGTCATGCCATAACCTATCGAGGTGGGCTAAACAAGCGCTCCGATCGGGTCGAGAACGGAACGGATCTGTCTTGGTTGTCCCGCCAGTACCGGGCACTTCTGCACAAGGACGATACAAGCTGCTTGCTACCTTGTTGCTGTAGAAATACTTCCCGCCATAAAGCCTCACGAGAGGAAACGATGTGGGTTGAACAGGACTGCACCGCTTCGTCTAACACCATACCAGCTGCCGAACACAAGTGCCGCATGTTGTATTGGATGAACGAATAATTTGTGAAGGGGACGTCATGCAGGAGAACGGTGCGATGGCAAATCTCCACTTCCAGATTACTCAGCTGCATCGAGTGACGATTCAAAGGTCGCACCCGCAGGAGCTTTCCGATTGGGTCATGCTGTGATACTGTCAGCCAACATGTCGAAACTGGGTGGGATGTGCTTCTCATGGTATGCCGAAAGCCCCGTGTCTAGCACATTCCAGTGCTTGGCTGTTCCTTGAGTCCTCCATCTACTGCGGGTGGATTGTTTGATGCGGGGATGTATTTTTATCCAGGTGTGAGTCTGGCTGTCTTGTGTCGGTGGCTGCGTTCACCTCCGGGCGCTGTGGGATCCATGTCTCCCCGTTCTAGTGCTGAATCAGCGACCTTCTCCTCTTCTTCTTCGACTGGCCCAGTTTGTGCTATGCCTGTGGTCCCACTGATATCCGACAGGCTTGACATTGCAGACCGCTTGCACGGGTTGGCTCTCGCTGTACTGATCCGTCCGGTTTCCGATGCAGCAGAAAGACCTGGTTGTCAGTGTGATATGCTACCGATATGGTCCGAGTCAGGGCTTGCGTACGGATGGGTGGCTTTTCGTTACCATTTTCGGCCCCACTTGCCACTGCTGCTTCGAATTTGCGCACCTTCGCTGTCTACGGTGCTCTAGCCTGCCATGCCCCCATACTCTCTGCTGCATGTTCGATGTCTCGGAGCCACGGAACGTGGACAAGCAGATGTGCATGTTACCAGTTCTTTTCCGATTGGTGCCTTCAACCTCGGTGCCTCCTCCAGAAAACACTGAAGATGTGCTTTGCACTGGTCTGCTGAAGCACGTGTGCGACAAAGCTGCTTGGCAAATTTCAGAACCTTTCATTATCTATATGTCACTGCGAAACCCCCCTACCCTTCACTTTCCACAACACCCTACACCCTTAAACTCAAAACCACAAACCTTTCGAACCTTTCCTTACCTATATCTGTTTTCCATATGTCTTTTAGCAAATTCCTTACACCCTAAACCTGAAAAGTTGAAACTTCCACATGTCTTGTGGCAAATTTCCTAAACCCCAGAATTCCCAAAACTGAAAATCCTGTCCTTGATTTGATTAGTCTGTTCGTTACGCTGCGCTATGGCATGGGTCCGAGCTGCAAGAGTCACCAACAGGAAGATAGTGTTCTCGCTTGTACAGCACATGAATTCTGTCTTCAGGCGCCCATTGAGACGCAAACCAAGTCCCAATGGTTCGTCACTTGCAGGAACACAGCACATAGACCGGTAAGGGATGCATGTGAAAGCAAGCATCCCGAAAACCGTGTGGACGAAGCTTAAGACAGGAACGCAGACGAAAAACGTTTGTGGTGATACCTTTACCAGATCCAGTGGCGACGAATCCAGAAGGATCCGTATGCTGCATTAAGGTTTGCCTCGGTCCGTGCGGAAAACCTGCCGCCACCTGGGTTATGGTTTTAGCATTTTAGCACTGTCAACCTCAAAAAGCACAGTCTGTTTCGGGGCTTCGGGCGCTTCTGCTGCACGGCTGCGCTGTCAGTGATGCGTTTCCCCAAGATTTTGGCAACGTGAAATACCAAGCTGTAGCAAGAATGCAAGGCGCATCGCAGGCGTTGTTACCTTCTTTTCCGGGCCTCCTGCCCGGGGCCAAAGCTGGTAGGTTCCCTCGGGGACGCCCAGAAAAGCGCGCTATCCCTAACACCCTGATTAATGATATAGCATCTATTCAACCAGGTCAGCAAACCCAAACAAAGCTGGGCATGCGACAAACTCGGTCTCACGGGATATTTCCTCGTCGGATTGCGGCCATCCATCTGCATGTTGCCAACGTCGCGGCCTTCGAGCTAGCAGCAACAAGCCCGCCAACCATGTTCGTTTGTGGTGCTTCGTCACTTCCCCTGGCCTTTGCTTGCCCCGCAATGCAAACACTTGCTTTTTGCACATTTTGTCTTAAGGGCTCGCATCTTATCTCGCCTTTGGGACTTGACAGCCTTGCCGCGCCTTATCGCACTCGTGCCCTTGGCTTTTTGAAGGCCTCCCTCGAAGGCAGCATTCGCGGATAGTTGGAGCTGGATAGCGCGCTCGGCGTCCACGACGTAGACGCCCCACGTGAAGCCGCTGCCCGTGCGTATAGAGAAACCTGCACACCACTATAGTGCTCCGCCAGGGTATCACATGTGTCCGCGAAGTTTCTATGATTGGTGGCGTGCCTTGACCACCAGGGATTCCTGTCTGGTAAGCCCGGAAAAGTTCAAGGAGAAGCTCGACACGCATCGGCTCGGACAGCTCGATGCTGCTGCTTGACAACCGACGCAGGATAGCATGCTGTCGCCGCTCTGGCGTTCCATGGCGTCGCCCGGCTCGGAATAATTCTCAAGCCTCTTCGGCAGCGCGTGGAAAGACTACGCAACGCGACTTGGCAATGAATTCACCCTGAGTCTACCGGATGCGGTCAAAGATAGACTCGATACGGATATATCTCTAGCAAGTTGGATGGCCTCGTCCCGGAGTCCTTCCTAGATGCGCCATCTTGGCCCGCACTTTGACCGCTGCATTCGTCCATGGGGATCGAGTCCTTTATGCTTCTCGCAGTAACCGCATCTGATCCAGATTTCGGGGACGGTGCGGTCTCGTTGGACATGCGCCGGCTTCTCGGCTGCGTTTGTCGGGCCAGAAGCTTCAACCTCGGCTTCGGAATACGAATCGTCCGGGTCGATCATTTTGTCGCCCTTCGCGGCCTTCGTCGTCCTAAATCCCAATCATGAGAAGCCGAAGGAGGAGCCCCATTACCGACGTAAGATGCGCTTTTGGTCCCGAGTGGAGTACCAAAGGATGACGCCCGGTTGAACCTGAACCTGTCCACACTCATTGCCAAAGCGGTCAAGGAACAAAGGGAACATGGAAAGATGGGTCGAAGCGGCTCGCGCTGGCCCCACGGACCCTCCCGAGGGGTACCTGCTCCGCTGCCAATTTGACCTTTCCAACTCAACTGTGCAACTACCGGTGTAGCTCAACAGCCGTGAGCGGTAGCGGCGAGAAAAATGTACGTTCAGGATCATGGCATGCACTCTCAAACACAGGGAAGCTTTAGAGATGAGTCGGGCGGACGTGAATCTCCGCAGGTATGCAGTTAGCATGATATTGCATGTTGAGGCCTTTTTCATACGGTCATACGGTCCCACCAAACACGTGTGCTGGCGGCACTCCGAAATTGATAAGCTTGAAATGAAGTCGGCATGATGCTGCTACCCTGTAGTAACTGACCTTCCGGGCACCTGGCACATCACCAGCTCGCAAGCTGAGGTAAGCTTTCTCTGGTAAGCCCTGACGGAAGTTACAAATCTTTCTTGCAAGTTCAGCTCTGTGAACAGCCTGCGCGCCAGCAACGGTCACATCCATGACCTTGGCAAGTGCACCGCCAGACATTCGACTTACAGTACGGACTCAGCCTTACCCGGAGAGTCGCACCGGCACTTCAGGGACCCTATGCCGGTTCCACTCCGAGCCAAAAAATAAAGCGCGGGCATGAACACAAAAGCCACAAGAAATTTCGCTCTTGCTCACGCTCACTCGCCCTGTCAATCTGCCAGTCTCTATTCTAGCTACTGCTCCGGCACATGAATTCCCAAGCCTGCCAAGAGTGATCACGCCAAGCACATCAAGAGCCAGGAGCCTGCAGCGAGATTCAGAGCTGATGTGGCAGTACATCTAGCATTTCTCTCAGGATGGTCTACAAGTCGTGGGTACAGGCGCAGAGTCTGTCTTGGCCACCCGCAGCAGCTGTAGCGAAGGAGTTCCTACCCATATTGGCCGGAGGCACCTTGCTTTACACGTTCCAGCGCATCAGTGCACCTGTCGCAATCCACGGAGTCCACGGAGTCCACGGTCTCGGTCGGCAGCAAGGCCAAAAAAGACTCGCAAACGATGGCACTCGGGTCTGGGTCCCCTGGGTGCGCTGCCTCGAGCTCAGGCTCCAGGCGGAGCCGTCCCAGCCGTCCTCCGCCTCCCTTCCTTCGGACTCCTCGTCCTTCCCCAACCTTGTCAGGTCTCATGCTCTGTTTTTTGTGCTCTCGGCAAAGGCGAGAAAACTCAGACCGAGACCGTTGCCGGCTTGATTCGGTTGAGTCGGCGGCAGCAGCAGCTTCATCTGCCGCAGAATGATGCCGCCAAGCGCGCTGAGGCAGCAAGGCAAGGATGTTCATTTTGGCGAATGGTCAGCTCAATCTCGATTGCCTCTATGATGACGCAGCCCAGAGCGAGCTGCAGGGAACGCAGCATGACGGAACCTACGAACACTCCTGACAGTTGCACATCCAGCGACATGCAGGTTGGGCGTGATGCTTGCACAGCAAAACACAATGCACCAAATGACAAATTAATCAGACGTCTGCACTGAAACCGCTTGATACCTGAAACGGAAGCTTTGCGCGACTTGCGACAGGTCTGCACTTCGGATGCATGTCAGCACATGTTGCTTGCCGGCAGTCTGACTGACACTTCTTGGCAGCGTTTTACCCCGGAGCGCTTGCAGATCCATCTACCTGGTCTGCATTTGATGTAGATAAGTACGTGTCTTCAGCATCTTCGAACTCAGCATAGCTGTCATCGAAGTCTGCGTCGACCTCGCCATAGTACGCGCCGTCGTAGTACTCGTCTTCGCCTGCCGGTGTTTGCTGCGGCGGCTCCCTCATCTCCTCCGTGTCGTCCCCCAGCAGCTTTGCGTCTTTCAAGAAGGTCACGAAGGAAGGTGGCCGTTCCAGGAATTCCTGAAGTGCTGTGCCAGGGGCCTTTCCACCACCCGGTTCTAGCAGAAGTCGTCGAAAGCGCTCTCCGCTTCCCCAAAGCTCGAATGCGGGGACAGGCGGGTCGTCGAAGACGGAGAAGACGTCAGCAGCAAGGGCTTCCGCCCAAAGCTGGCCATAAAACGCGCCGGCCGTCTCCGAGTTCAAGGGCCAGCCGCAAAGCTCTCGATCTTGCACCCTCGGTCGGATGACGGCGTACTCACCTTCGATGAGCTTCGCAAGATCGAAGACGTTGATGTCCCCTTTGGGATCGTAGTCCGCGTGAAGCTCCAGATCGATGTGAGCCCGAGCAGCCTTCCGAAGAGTACGGACTCCATTTAAGAAAGTCCTTGATTCCGACAGAGCATCAACCGCTGCCTCTGGCAGGGCATCTCCAGTCTTGTAGTGTCGGCCCATCTCAGAAAGCACTCGTCGGTCGTAAGCCCATCTTTCGAGGAAGTAGCCAGGTAGTTCAAGAATGTCCGTTTCAAGCCCTGCGCTGCCGGAAAGAAGACCCTCTGGCTGCTTGCAGAAAAGATCACGCAGGCTTGATCCGAACACACGAAAGAGCTTTACTACCTCGCGATGAGTAAGCAAGCTGGGCGAGTCTGCGGGTGGCTCCAAATCACACATGATGTTCACAGCTGGTCTGCGTGGAGAAGACCGGTGGCCCAAAATCTCTGAATAGCCCTGTATTGATGAAGACCAGAAGCCCCTTCTCTTCTGGCCCCACCGTCTGTGAGCATCGAGGAAGAAGGATGCTACCAAGTCTTCGTTGTCGGTATCTCTGATGCGAAAGAAGCGTACATGCTCGGCCCATGTCAAGTCGCTTTTCTCCTCAATCACCTGTGCATGTGCTCAGTTGCAGCTTCATGTGATTAGCGACAGTTGTTGCATTGGCCTGCTGTCCGCCTCAGCCAGTATCCACATCATTGTGCGCACCTATAAGCAACAATGTCACTGTGGTGTCCACGCTAAGCCGCGACACTCGACTAGTTGCTACGAGTTTCGTTTCATGGATTCCCCAATTCAACCGCAGACGAGCATATCACCAGGCTTTGTCAGGTGTTGTGTGTGCGCGCTGGATGTTTCAAAGCCCAGGTCACGAGGATCCGATAACGACATGTTCACGCCTCGAGACGACATACGTTGAGAGTAAATGCATACTCCTGTTGGGCCAGCAGCTAAAAGAGAGTCTAGAGTACAGTTCAACACTGATTCTTGCGAAACAAACAAAACAAGAACAAAGCAGTTATTGAGCCAATTCGACTCTCATACGATGTGTGCACCGAGTGAGTGAGTGAATGAGTGAGTGAGTCAGTGAGTGAGCGTCTGCATGCGTGCGGGCGTGGGTTTTTTGTGCTCAAGCACACGGTTCTAGCCTGCGAAAACAAAACCTTTGCAATAAGTGCAAACATAACCCCCTTTAGACCAACATGGCACCCTCAACTTGAGCTCTATATTCTATTGCTCCTCAACTATCCCTATCGACCATTATTGCCTCAACTCTAAGAACGTTCAAAATAAATCTGAGGTCCCATCATGTTACATGCTAATGTATTCAAGGCAATCGCGTGATGGAATATTTCCTAAACGCCGCACCACACAATGAAGCTCAGGTATGTTCAACAGGGAGCCTAAACCCCTAACTAACAGGAATTTGAGAAAGTACGGACAGAGGACGGCGGCAGATGGAAGCAGCCACAGCACTTTGCTGCGCTGTGACGTCGAAGGTTTGGAGGGGTAGAGGCCATGGAGGCCCCGGAGACTCCAGAGGCCCCGGCCCCGGGTCACTGCATCGATGGCAAAGCAAGGTGAGATTCCGAGGGGATCGAATTCATGGGACAGTGTCGGCTGAGCTGTCCGAACTCTACAAATCTTCTTCGTCTGCTATGAACATGCGGAACGCGATGGACCCCGCGGCCAACCCTGGAAGTCACCAAGTGACACTGAACCCTCGATCGTGAAGTGCGACACTTGCGACTGCTCTCAAGGACGTGCGTGCCATCGAGGACTGAGTCTTGACTCACAGGCTTTCAGACATGAAGACGTGTTCCTCGTGACGACCCCGTCATGGAAGCTCAAGCCAGCAATCCGAACTCTATCCCTGACTTCGCAGGCCCGTTGTCTGACAATGGATGGTGCCGGTCACGCGACAATAATCGCCGGAACTCTCCCAGGCCAAACACGAAGGGTCGCAGCGTTTACCAGCTGGAAATTAACTGTGTTTTTCGGTTCGCCGCCCTGGCCTTGACATGGAAAAGATGCTGTAGAAGCCAGAACAAGCCGTTGAGCACTGCAGGCAAAGGGAAGAACTCTCGGATATATTCGTCTCGCAGGCCATAACGCTCCTCCAACAATCTTTGCCCCCAGTACTCCACATCAAAATGGTCTAGCTCGTAGTCGGCACCTTGTGAGCGAGCGAAAAGTTGCAGCTCGTCGAGCTCCTTCCGTGCTTTGGGAAGGGCCTCTTTGCGAAGCTTCGCTAGCAAGCCGTAGGCTTGATTCGGACTCGCCATCGTCCGGGTGAAGACGAGGTCGGCATGTGTCCGGTAGCCCACGACTTTGGCCAACCGCTGCCGGGCCTGTAAGAGAAGCTCTAACAGAGGGGTGTTGTCGTTCTTGCCCGCGCCTCCGAGGTAGGCAACCCTCAGCCGGTTCTCGTGAATTAGCTCCCGCAGCGCACGGCTTTTGGCAGTGCGCAAGACCGGCTCTGCCATTGCATCGTGCAGTGACAGAAGCCAAGGGCCGCGATCTCGACTAGCCTTAGGATACCCCGCCTGCCTCGCAGACTGCACAGCATCTTCCAAGATCCACGGGGGTATACCATCCAGATCCTGCCGATCTCTGATCAAATACGCCCGCATCTCCATGTCTCGCTCAATGTTTTGATCCCAGATGAGCGAAATATTGAAAACAGCACCTCGGACCTTCTGGAGCTCCAGAAATGCATCCGGATCATCTCTGTAGATCCCATTATGCTGCAGATTGACTCCATCTTGCTCAAACAGAATCATCAGGAAAGCCGCTGCCCTCCTCTGGGCTTCGGTTGCATTGTCGTCACTCGACAACAGCTTTAGAAAAGCGCGAGAAAATCGATCGCAGCGGCGCAGACGGCGCTCAATCGTCCAACGAGCTTGTGCCGCGTATCTGAATGCTTTCTTGAACTTCACCGACGGGTCGAGGACGTCCCTTACATGCTTCACAGCCGAAAATGCTCGATCCACTTTGTCCAGCACTCTCTCTAGAGGGTCGAGCACATACCTCCAGTCGTCTGACACATAAGGCACAATGCAATGATGTTGCCAAATGTCATTAATCGCAGTTTTTTCCATCCATTCGTGACCACGGTGAGCATGCTCTGGCCGAATGTCTTTCCATGGGGGAAACTCTTTGGCTCCGTTCATCAGAATGTTAGTTCCATGCTTCAGGTTTGCAATTATTTCCTCTCCGTTGGAAAGCACGAAAGGCTCCGTGCTCCAATTGGCACCTTCCTTTCGCCAGGTACGCAGGGCCTGCTGCTGCCGTCTTGACTTCATGCTCCTGTGTGTGACAAGATCTTCCATGCCCTTGCTTGCCATGACATCTGCAGCTGCCCTTCGTAGACATCGTTCTCGTCGTTCTGGCAGTGTGTTCTGTCCTGCTCAACTGAGAAACATGTCATCTCCACTGCTCGGCTGGAACACAATGAAAACCCGACCTCTTGTGCTCGGAGGACCCGATGCAAAGAGTCTTGCCGGGCCTGCGACATGTAAAAACGAGCACAGCTCACAGAATCGGAAGAGTCACTGCCAGCACCTAGGAGCCATAAGAAGAAAGCTGCAGAAGCTCCTCCCAACCTGAGCAGGCGGCGAGGCAAATATCGGTCCGTTCTACCCCCTTCTGCAACATAACTAAGCTATCCTCGTCGATATCCCAAAAATGAATGCCAAGACGAGCCAAGAAGCACCCTCGACGTTTTCCGAGATGCCAGGTCGGCCATGATTCAAGCGCATGGGCGGTCGGTTTAAAGACGAGTCTGTCAACACATCAGCTGCTTGTACTTCTCAACAATCTGCCGGAATTTGCAGGGTCCAGCGTCTATTGAGCAGCTTCAGCCACTGTGTTCCACCACTAGCACTAGCTTATTACCTACAACCCACCTTTCCGAACACTGTGCTTCGCGTGTGCAGCAGCAGAACCGCCTAATAGCCTTTTTGCATTGGCTGTGAAGCGGACTCATGCACAAAACCATCCACCTGATACGAAAGCATGCCAGCGGAATACTGCACACATTCCCTTCGCCACGCACTGCTGAATGTTTCGCTGTTTTGCATGCTTTCCACAAGGAATCACCCCGCACATGCATCCTAACTACCGGCCCTATAGGCCCTCATCACCAAGACCTGCTCCAAGAAAACTCTGACGAACTGTAAGCTGAGAAACGGGGTCAATACTTGCAGCCTCCTCTGTGTAAGTATTGGTCTTCAACTGTCCTGCAATGCGAACTGGCAGGGCAAGAACATGATTTCGTGATCATGTCTTGAAGATTCTGCAAAAACCTACACGTGCCCTGAACGGGAGCACCCCCGTAAAAGGTCCTGTCGATGACCTGGCATGGCGACAACATCTCAGCCGCCCGGATATTTCTCAAGAATGCTAAGGACAAGGCATCCGACCCGGAGTAGCCCTGCAAGGGTTCTGTCGCTTGCGATGTAGCGCCTCGGAGCCGTGCAAATGGTGCGTACCATGAACTTACAGCAACGCCAGCAACGCATCTCAAGCATTTCCAATGCACGGATGTCCACAAGGACCTCGCGTTCCTGACCAAGTCGGCCAGCCTGAGTTTGGCCGGAACCATCAAGGTCCGGTCAGGCACAGAAGTTCGAGCCCAGAACAATACTCGTCAATCCGCTGGACAAAGAACCACCTCCGCAAGGATAGGTTCACAATGCTCCACAAACATCAGGCTGACCTTTTTTCATTTTCATGATCCGTTGTGCTGCGACGGAGTCTTGTGGCTTCAAAGCACACGCGTATGCACACAAACACACACACACACACACACGAACACAGGCACACACACACACACATACACATACACATACACATACACATACACATACACATACACATACACATACACATACACATACACATACACACACACACACACACACACACACGGAGAAGTGGCCATATCCAGTTTGGTCCATCCGCTTATAGCCTGCTTCCATCTGGGTTTGATACCTTAGTACCAAGCTGTTCAAACCTGACAAGACTCACGCTCACGGGAGAAACCAGCTGCACTCTGTACATCGCAGGTACGTCAGACTCGGTATCCCATGATTGTGGTAGCTTCGTTGAGTGCGGTCCCACAGTCATGCCGCACCCCTGCTGCTGTACGAAACAATTGCGAAATACGATCCAAGGACCCTTAGCGAATGATCAGGCTTTCTCACACACACACACACACACACACACACACACACACACACACACACACGCACACACACACACACACACACACCCGCACACACACACACACAGACGCACGCACGCACGCACGCACGCACGCACGCACGCACGCACGCACGCACGCACGCACACACACACACACACACGCACACGCACACGCACACGCACACGCACACGCACACGCACACGCACACGCACACGCACACGCACACGCACTCGCACTCGCACACGCACACGCACACGCACACGCACACGCACACGCACACACAGGTGGAGTAGTTTGAAACTGCCACATCGAGCGGGCCTCTCGCTGTCTTTTTTGCTTGCTTGGAGTGCCGACGTATGGAAGTTCGGGCTTGCACTTCCCCCCCCCCCTGTCGCTTGCTTTTTTGCCCGACGCATGGAAGCTCGGGTTTGCACATTCCCCTCCTGTCCTGAAACTATACGCCAAGACCCATCGAGCCGGGAATTGAAGACAAAAATTCAGTGCGGCACGCTTCCGGTTCAACTAAATCGTGGAGTGGAGTGGAGTTCTTCTTCGAACAAAATCGACGACGATTACATGATTGGGATCCGGCTACATCTATGGCAACGCTGAAGCCGGTGCTCTTCGTTCGGACAACCTCAGACCAGGAAGTGCGGCGGCAGCGATGAAAAAGAAGAGTCCGCAGCCCCTCCGATGGAGGTCAGTGTGTGTGGGAAACCCAAACTACAACGGGACAGTGACATTGAGGTTAGAGCTCACATTGTGCAGGGGTGCCAGGGGATTGCAGAAGGCTGGCACCAACGAAGACCTTTCTGCTTTCCTGTGAAATCGACTTGGGACGCCAAGTCGACGTACCTGCAGCTTGTGACGTCCTCAATCCTACAAGCGGTGCAATGTTTCGTCCTCCACACATTCGCTGTGCAATGTTTCCAGATTACTCGTCAGCAGTGAAGAGAGAGATCCAGGTATCAGGATACAGGTGCTCCTTGGCTTCTTTCGATATTAAATCGCAGCAAGGCAACCAAAGACTCTTGAAGGCCCCTACAACATTTTCTTTGAAGTTTCTCATCGGAGTCTTGAACTCAATGATGAGTGAAATTGACCACGAATGAACATTCTACCAGGGAAGCCTGGGTGTTCGAGTGTGTGTGGGTGTGTGTGTGTGTGTGTGTTTTTTTTTTCTGCGGTTTGATCCTTAAGCCTTCGGGCCGGAGGTGATACTGCTTTTGGACCGGACTCTGTCCTGGTCGCTGGCTGGGATTTCTGGCACTCTGCCGCTGATCTCTTTGATGCGGTATGAGAAGATTTTCCGCGCTTGCAGCACAGTATCTCCGAGACAAAGCACCACATGTAGAAGCATATGTTTGCCCCTGGTGATTCGGTCAGGTGGAATTTCAACTGTCATCCGAAAGCACTGACTTCGCATAGAGTACCATGGAAGTCCAGCTTCTCCCGCTTTTCGCTTCGGCATGGCTGGTTTACTACTATGGGACTACAACAAAAGCAACCTATTGGAACCAAAAAGACTTGCAGTGATGGTGCGTTCAGAAATGTGTGATGTTCTCGCAAGCAATCTGGCGGATGGAAGACAAGTGATGTCTCGTCTCCTTTTTTTGTGGGCGCTGTCCTGCTGCATATTTTAGTCTTCGTGAAACCAACAAAGATGCCGTCCTTGTCGCTGATGGTGGTCTTCAGAACTCTGCGATAGCGACGTGTGAGAGCAGTACATGATGGCAAGGTCGGGGTTGCTGCGGTGCTCTGCTTCGCACTGTTGACAATTGCATGTGCAGTTGACGCCTCCAAACATGTAGCGTGACTCTCGTACTACTTTCCGAATGATGTACTCCGCGAGCTCCAGCAGCTGCACCATACTGAGTTGATTGACGATTTGGTACATGTTGTCGAGCTGTGTAGGGCCTGCTTGTCGCGGTGCTTCATCGTGGCGTTCTCCATCCCATGTGCATCTTCCCCGGCGCATTGTGCAAAGTGACTGGTCACTGGGGAGGGGGGCGACACCGTGCTTGAGAAGGATGGCTTACAAGAAAAAGGTTAACAAAAAAGATTACAAAGGTAGGGTCTAAATCATACCAGCAAGCAGAAAATGTTCATGCTGCATTGAGACTGGCTCGGTCTTTTCCTGATCGCCGCTCATGGTCCTCTGTCTGCTTAGTTTAGTCTGCCTGGTACCAGCATAGATGTCGTCCATGCGAAATATGATTTTCTTCAGAGCTTTGTGAATGTGACGTGTGGGCGCATGTTTGGACGGCGTAGTTGGGATCGCGGTAGTTTGCGGCCTCACACTGCTGACATGGAATAACACATTTGACGCCACCGAACATGAATCGGGTGGCATTGCGCAGTCTGCGCGCCACGTATTCGGCCAACTCCAGGAGCTGCGAAATGCTGAGTTGATTCACCACCTGGTACATGTCGTTGAGTTGGGCTGTCGGTCTGTGCGATGTTCTGCTTCTTCTGGATACCACGTGCTGCGTCCACGGAGCATTGGCAATGTCGCTAGCTAGATCGGGGGGCCAAGAGCTGCTTAACCGCTTGAGACACAGGTACGCAATATTAGCTTAGATACAAATGAACGCGACAAAATTTGCATAGAGAAGCATCTGTTTTCGGCAGCCACATCATACTTTCGGCATTGAATTGGGTCCACAGTGTTGTACTGAGTCGAATTAGGCGAGGTTGAAGCCAAGCTGTTGGAGGTATCGCTTGTCCTCGCTGCATATGTCCTCGATGCGATTGGTGGTGTAGGCTGAGATGATCAATCGATCTGATTTCCATGGACATGTGCCGTGGAGTTTGAATGGGCTGAACTCAACTCCGGGCAACTTGAGTTCAATGTTACGTCCGCGATGTTGTCCATTCGGAGAAAGATCTGGTCCATTGTCTTCTTCTATCCATCGGTGTCCTTGTCGAAAAGCTGATACTGGGATCACTACATTGAGGCTTCCTGGCTTGTTGTACTTGTCTCGATGAGTGCCCATGTGTATGTTGCGCAATAGGAACACCGTTGAAAACGACGTGTGAGTGCATGCTCGCACCATGTATGCCAGTGTAGCTGCCGTCCATGGTCTCTGCCTTGTGTTGGTACGTACTCCGATGCTGCCCGCGTGGTAGTATGTGCCAACTGTATAGGCTGTTGCTCGTCTGCCTGCTCGGGTGAGTGCAGATGCTCCAAGGAATTCTGAGTTGAGCTTTGTGGAGAGCCATGGGAAAACTTCAAATGGAATGTATCTTTGCTGAAGGAGTAGTTCACATTCTTGTTCTACCGGGTCATCCGTGGCCACTGAGTGCACGGGTGCATTCATGTCCAGCGGTAGCCCGTGCGGTAGTCTGACCGTGTATTCCATAGCGTCAGAGTCCGTGTCGATGTCGGTTAGGATTATGGCATTTCCGGCGGCATTGGCGCGCTGCTTTTTGCACTTCTTAACCCGGCTACCTACCATTGTCCTTCTTGAACCAAAAAACTAGAAAAAGAAACAAAAGTGCAGAATAAAGCATTGGAAAGCGCTGCAGGACTCATGTGCTTCTGCTGTTTTTCTAGGAGATGCGCGAATCCCAAGTCACTGTAGAGGTCGTCAAGCTCCTGCAGCTGTTTCTTGGCCACGTCTGCTGGGTAGGCAATGGTTCGAATAAGGTGCTTTCTGCTGTGGTATCCACTGAGTCGCAGTTTTGTGGATCCCCCTGATTGTGGTAGTCGATATCTCCAAGCTTCTCGGTGGAGGTTGTAGGTGATCCGCCGATCATCCGCGTGAATGCGGAAGCCCAGGAAGTCATCACATGCGTCATCTTCAAGTTGTACTGGCTTCTTGTAGAAATGCAATGACGCCAGCTGCTGGATATATGGATTGCTCTGGAGCTCGTCTTCATCCACGATGATGGCTCTGTTGTCGACGTACCTGCGAATCCAGAATTTGTCATGAAGGTGGGCGCTGCTGACGAACTGGCCGTACATTCGTAGCCATGTGATTTCTGTGGCCACTATTGCGCACGTAGAAAGGATGGGACTGATTTGGTTTCCCATGGACGTGCCGCAAGTCTGCTGGAAGACCTCCCCAATGGCTGTGAAAGCGCAGGCGTCAAAGCTGAACTGAATGATGGCTGGTATGTGTTCGGCTTGTACCTTGACCATGTTGGATTTCAGGCTGTAGGTTGACTTGCCGGAGTGTGCGGGCGCGATCTTGTTGTGCGGGTCGACGGTGATGGCGGGGTTGTGGTCGTCAAGGAATTGGGACGTGAGGAAGTGGATGCTCTGAAGAATGTCGGATTGTGGTATCGAATTAAAGAATCCGACCAAATCGTGATTGAGAAATTTCAAATGGCGCTCCGGGTACAGGTGCTCGTTGTTGTTGAAGAGCTGGTGTATTTCCTCCCAAAGTTGTGGTGAGCTGACATCACCACAAATGGTTGGTTATCCTCAACATCTGTTGTAACGCTAGGGCCGCGATCTTCAGTAATTTGCCGATGCACGTATTGCTGTACGCGATAATGGTCCTCCCCTTGGCCCATCGCTTCTTCTTTTTCATGAGTATATACCCATACGGCAGGGGCTTTTCGTAGGCGAGGAGCTTGGCGTAGTGCTTTGCGACCACCTTGGGGGTGTTGTGTTGCATGTCCTGCTTGATCTCCTCCGGGGCTTTGTCTAGTATTCGGAATGTCTGCTTGTCCATCCAGGTGTTGTAGGCGGCTTGGTTGTAGATGGTGGGGCAATAGATCATGGAATGTGCGTTGGCGTGGCCTTCGTTGTGTATGATGTAGTCGTCAGGAATCATGGCCAAAATGCTCTTTGCCAGCCTGTGTGTGATTCTTGGTTCTCGCTGAAGTTGTAGTCTATGTTGCTTCCATTCTTGTTCGAAGAAGGCGTCGAACTCGTCTAGTATGCGTTGATCTCGAGGGAATTGGTGATGTTTGAGCCACCGCTGGAATTGGTCCTGATGTTGTCTCTTGATGCGCTGCTTGGAGGAATAGAAGGCGTTGCCAGCTCCAACGTTGTAGGTAGCTGCAAAGTTTCCAGGCCAGTGACCACGGGTCCTTCATGTAGCTGAGCTCCTGGGTGCTGCTTGATGAATTTGGCACACTGACACTCCGTTGGCTTCCAGCGTCTGCCCATATCGGTGACCTTCCGCTTGTGGTTCCACAGAACTTGCTGTAGTGATGGATGCGTTGCCTCTTGGACCGTCTTGGTGGGTAGATGGTATGGTACAAGCACATGACGGTGGTTTCTGCTGAGTCGCACCAGGTGTTTTTGGAGATTGGTGCGAAACAAAGCATGGGACAGAAAAGGAACTTTTAGGGGCTTATTGTGCTTTGGGACCGATGCGTTCTTGAACTGCAGAACTTTTCGTAGTCGAGCTCGAGCTTTTGATCTCCACGGCTGCTCCATGTGGTTGGCGAGTCTGTAGAGCAGGGTGACGGTTTCTGCATCGTGCTTGCCGCTGCGCAACTCTTTGGAGGCTTCAAATTCTTGTTTGGTGTCACTGGAGATGGAATACAATAGTTTCCAGAATTGGGCCTGCTTGGGTAGGGCATTAACAAGGGAAGGTTTCTGTCCTTGTATTCTTCTCCGTAGTTTTTTGAAAAGTTGTCGTCCTAGAGAATCAGGTGGATGTCGAAGGTGCGGTTGTTGGTGTTTTGGAACGAGACCATGGGCTTTCTTGACCAGCTCCTTCGTGACAAATGGGTAGTTCAGCTTGGGCTGCCATCTTTGGATCAGGCTGTGTTCTTCGGCCCAGGCGTCAATATACTCCGAGTGCTGCGAAAGAAGAATGGTGCTGTAGTGCAGGTAGGTCTGGGAGTCATTCCAATATCGAATGGCAATCTCAGTTTTGGGTAGTTTGAGTTGTTGTAGTTGACGAAGCTTTGCAACCCTGTTGTATTCTCTCTTGGCAACAGTGATGTTGGTGGATCCGATATAACAAAAGGATGCATCTCTGGTAGCGGTCGCATAGGTTTGCTTGTTGAGCCGTGGGAATAAGAGCTTGATGTACACAGCACAAGGCTGGGAGAATTTGTCGAACGTGTAGAGTTCTGGAACCGCGCCTTTTTCTCGAAGTCGCTCTTTAAGTTGCTCCGCTGCAGGCGATTGCCGCATTCTATGAAAGGTGAATACTAAGTGAATAAGGCCGACTAACCACATCAAAACTTCTTTGTTAATAGCAGGAACATGAAAAAGCAAAAACTGCCCCCAATCCACTATCTGCTGCAGTCGCTGGAAGATGTTGGCACTTTCTTGATGTGCCAATGGTCCTCTCAGGACCCTTTGCACGTGTCACACAGCGAGGTAGGTGACAGCCGCAATCAGCTGCTGGAGGTTCTTGGGCGATGTCTTTGGCGCTGTAGCGAGGGATATTGGGAGTCCCCATCGCGTGGCCATCTCCTGCAGCTCTGCCTTGGTGTGCTTGGCATTCTCGAGGATCGTCTGCATGAATTGTATGTGGTTGTCGACCTCCGCGTGCTTGTCTCGGGGGAAGCTTTTCTTGAGGTTCGCGACCCAGGTTGCGATCGATGTCATACTGGTCGGCGGCTCTTGTCCACTTGCGCGAATAACATTGTGGGGCTCGGCAAGGGTGTCCTCGTTGCGTTTTTGGCCGGCTCCTTTTGTAAGGCGTCTGCGCTTTAATGGCTTTGCCGCTATCTCTGGACCATCTGTTGGCTCAGCTTGTAGTGGAAGGGCTTTCTGGGGAGTGACTTCAAGTCCCGCACTGCGTAGGCGCTGCTTGTACTTCGCGGTCTGCTCTTCGAGGGCCTGCATGCGCTGATCTGCTTGATTGTCGCTGTCGGAGTTCTTGGTGGCATAGTTGCGATCTTGCGCCCATGGCTTGATGGCGTCGAAGATGGTGTTCACCAGGGGCGTCACGAAGGCTGTAGCCTCTTTGACCTTGTCCGGGGCTTTCTCACTTTTGCTCTTGTAGATGGCGTCGACGGTGGCATCAACGTCGATGTTGTTCTCGCGGAGCTTCTTTTGGAGCTGGGAGAGAAAGACACTCTCGGCGATGTTGCGCGTTAAAATCATGCCGGTGAACTTGCCGTGGGAAAGTCCTCGGAAACCAAATTCTTCCATGCCATGTCTGCAAAGATGCGCGACAGTGACGTCCCGAATGTCCATGCCTGCAAGGCCTTTGGCGCGGCTCCAAGCTGTCGGCTCCACGTTCTTCCGAAGGGTTGACTTGAAGACGAGGTTGGTGTCGTAGTGCTCGGAGTCCTCTTTGAATTGCCTGGGAAGTGGAACTCTTGCCGTGGATGTCGGTGGGCCTGCTGCGCTTGGGGCTTCCGGAGGTGTGCTTGGCGGCGGCAGTGGCGCGGTTTGCGTCGGCGGGTTAGCTGGTGGAGGCAAGGGTGGCCATGCCGGCAAAGGTGTTTGTGGCCACCATGTTCCTTCGCCTTGGCTTTGACTAGAAGCGGCGCTCGCTGCGCCTCTGTTGTCTGGCTGCCACCATGACGAGTCTTGCGATCCCTGGGACCAATATCCGGTCCACGCATTGGCCATTCTTTTGCTAGGTTTCTTGGGAATTACTGAAGCGCACCGTCTTGACAAAAAGGCTAACCGAGCAAGAACGGTTGGAACATCAACAAAGAAAGAAAGAAAGATTATGTACTTACAACTGCATGTAGTGCACGTGCATCTTTTGCTGCGAAAAATGCACATCCTTGGCGTCGCAGTCTGTTGCTGGGCATATAGTAAAGGAAGATCTGCAATGTGTTGCCGAAGTCGAGGTCGAGGAAGAGCTGCGGTGTTTCCGCAGTTACAGTAGTGCAAGCCGTGCTCTTCCTTGTGGGGCTATGCCTGCAGCTTTTTGGTACTGGGAGATGAGGGTATTCGCTGTGGATGGCGGTGTCATCAGCTGCTCAAATGCAATGCATGTAAAGCAGTATCTGTTGCGAGAAACACAATAAGCTTTTGCATTCGCATCTTTGAGCACCTCATCCTCCTCAGTGGCTGCGCGAGCTGTTTCATAGGACCCGCCAAGGTGTTTGCGAAGAGATCCCCACGCACGTCCGCCCACGACGATGCCTGCCAGGTTCTTGGCGCCGCGCGTGGTGTTGAAGATCACCCGGGTCAGGTTATGTTCGTCGATGTCCGACCAGGACATCTCGTGGCCTAGCGCGTAAAATATGTTGCAGCCGAATGCCGCCACTCCACGCGCGTTCATCGGACGCATATCACGCTGCTTCAACATATGCCATAGCGCCCCCACGTCTGTTGCGCGCGACCAGAATAAGATCTTTTCTTGCCGTGTTGGTAGAGGTGGGTCCTGCAAAGTGAGATCCGAAGATTGCAAGAAATAGAATCTCCTCATTGTCTCTGGCGATGGATCTCCTCCTCGGTTCCACGTGAGGTCGTGCTCCAGGAGAACTCCGGAGTTGATTCTGAACTCTGCTGCAGCGCAGAGTGTGTCCACATACTGCTTGGTAGAGTCATGTATGGGGAACTGCGGGATCTCAATGTCTCGCCAGTTTACTCGGAATTGCTTGATGTTCTTGCTGAATGTGATCCTTGATGGCATCCGTGGGGTCTCGTAGAGCTTGGGGTCAATCTTAGGCACTTGTGTGGATGACGCCTTCGGTGCTGCAGCAGTGCCAATGTTGCCAGAGCCCGATGCCCTTGACGCCTCTTGTCTGGATGCTGTAGGCGCAGTACAACCATCATATCTCGAGCGTCTCACTGTCCTGGGAGTGCGAGATCTGGATGTTGTCCTGGGAGTGCGAGATCTGGTTCTTGTCTTGGGAGTGTGCGATCTGGATTTTAAAATCGCCCTCGGTCTGGAAGGTCTGGAGTTGCTGCGACCTCGCCTTGTAGGACTGCGCCTTGGGGATCTTGAATCCACACGCTTCTTCCTCACGAGCAATGGCCTGGAGGGTCCGGAGGATGCGCTACGCGATGTCATTGGCAGTGCTGGTAGTCCTGAGGTAGGTTTGGGTGTAGGCGGGGCTTCTCCTGCTCCAAGCTGACCACTCCTTTGGAAGTAGGGTCGAGGGGACATGGTGCGTCCCTCGTGCCTGCGGAATGCAGAAAACGGTTGAGCCTTCCGCTTGGCCTTGGCGCCGGATCCAGCTGCGCTCTGCCCGGTCTCGGTGTCCTCCGCAACATCCGTAGAAGATTGCACCACTCCCTGCGGGTTGGCTGCCTGGAGCGCCCGGAGCTCTTCTTGACTGAATAATTGGCTCGGGGATCTCCTTGTTGCCGCGGTCGTGGCTCGAGCTTCTTTGCGGATTCTTTTCAAGGGCGGTCTCCCTTGCTCAGTAGTAGAGGGTGCCGCCGATGGTGCCGAGGATGCTGATCCACCGCTCAATGCTGCAAACGCTTGCAGCAGGTCTTCGGGCTGCGCATTCTTGGTTTGAATATTGATCTCCATGGCAGAGGGACACAGCTGCTACGTGCAACTCAAGACCAAAAGACACTTAAAACAAAACAACACTTAAAGCAAAAGAAAAGGATGATGAACCCCCAGAATCTTGCATTAGCAGCTTTACATTACTCTTAGTTACAGCATGAGTGTCGACTTCAAGCGCATTTCAGAACGGAGTGAACTTCAAGCTTGAATACGCTGGTCATCGAGATCAGCAGGTACTTTCCGGTCTCAAAATATATGCTTTCCGTTCTGTTTGTGGTTGAGGCCTGTTATGAACCTAGCCAAGAATCACTCGTCCCACTCGGGGCACTATTTCAAGGGATACTGCCTCGAGAGCAGCGGTAATGGCGCCGTGACGGATAAGGCCATGCCCATTTCACACTCGAACACCCAGGCTTCCCTGGTAGAATGTTCATTCGTGGTCAATTTCACTCATCATTGAGTTCAAGACTCCGATGAGAAACTTCAAAGAAAATGTTGTAGGGGCCTTCAAGAGTCTTTGGTTGCCTTGCTGCGATTTAATATCGAAAGAAGCCAAGGAGCACCTGTAGCCTGATACCTGGATCTCTCTCTTCACTGCTGACGAGTAATCTGGAAGCATTGCACAGCGAATGTGTGGAGGACGAAACATTGCAGTGCACCGCTTGTAGGATTGAGGACGTCACATCTGCAGGCACGTCGACTTGGCGTCCCAGGTCGATTTCACAGGAAAGCAGAAAGGTCTTCGTTGGTGCCAGCCTTCTTGGCACCCCCTGCACAATGTGAGCTCTAACCTCAATGTCACTGTCCCGTTGTAGTTTGGGTTTCACACACACACACACACACACACACACACACACACACACACACACACACACACACACACACACACACACACACACACACACACACACACACACACACACACACACACACACGCTACTTCCTCAGAACCCGCACCGCGGCTCAACAGGGGTGGGTGCATGCCGCACCCGCTGGTGTTGTCCATGAGAGCGTGGCTACCAGAGAAGCTGTGTGAAATGGCAAGCACCCGCATAGAAAATGTGTAGGGACATGAATGCTCAGCACCAACGTCTCATCGGAGCACATGACATCAAGCAGATCAAGGCGGAACTTTTGTGCCCGGATGACCGCGCTTGTGCCGAGTGCTGCCGGACGTGAGCCTGACCATTCCGAGTAAGGAGGTCCACTGTGCCCTGTCTAGCAAGGCCGTCTACTATGTCTTGCAGCATACTACGCAGGCTTGATGGTGGCAGCACCATCGGTGCGCACGCTGTGCGAAAGCTGCCAAGGAGTTGCTCCAAGGGTGCCCAAGTCGGCGACAATCGCCTGAGGATGTGCCTGCGGAGCCTCTGCCGCAGGGTGGCACTGATGCGACTGCTGGACATTCCCGCGACAGGGGCGCAGCTGTCAGACTGGGCTGCCATGAGCAGCTGCACGTGAGGAGGGGTCGCAACTGGCTGTGACCAGGGCAAAGCTGAGCGTGCGCAAAGCCAGCGCCAGCGGCAGTCAGGACAGAGGAGAGTGGGTGTGGCGGCAGAGGGCCTGAACAGGTTGTTGGCACCTCGGTTCCATGCGCACCGTCCTCGAAAATGTGAGAAATACGGCACGCGCGGCAATGCATCTCAGTGCCTGCACCAGGGGCATGGCAGGGGTGCTGCGGCCGCAATATCGGCAAAGAGCTGGATGGGAGGCCTGGGGTGCTCGCCACCGGCAACGCACGTGCAAAGGTGCAGGAGTAGAACCTTGGAGAGATGGGGTCCTGAAAGGGACACCCTCAGCTGAGAGAAGGTGGAGGATGCGCGCGCCCGAGGCTCGGTTGCCCTGGGGGTAACAAGCAAGTCGGAAACGGGAGATGGCTGTGCGTTTATCCGGCACAGACCATCGCAGCTCTTTGATGGCTGCTTTGCCGGCTGGGGACTCCAACCAGGTGAAAGTTGGATCGACAGGTCGAATTGGGCCGGGGACAACAACGGCTAACTCCCTACATTCAAGAGACGCACGGAAAGCAGCTGCCCACGAATCCACCCTTTGAAGATATTCGGCCCGTATGCGACGGAGAGCGAGGACTAGCAGCCGTAAAGCCTCTGCAGCCGCTCCAGTGACCTGAATGAGCCGGTCTTTACTACCTTCGGCTTCTGCCGAAGCAGAGGGCAGGTCGCGGAAGGTGCCATGCTGTTCATCTTCCACTTCGGGGACCTCGTCTGTGTCTAGCGAGGAGGATGCGGTTGCGTGGCGCAGGAGATTGCCCAGTCGGCAAGGCATAATCCCCCTATGAGCAAGTCTGATGCTCCTTCAGCTAGTGGAGGCGGCACTGCTGTGACCTGGCTCGATGCCGAAGTCATTGACTTCAGTGCTCATGGGTACCAACCAGTGCCATGTCGCGAGGATCGGCCAACGCCTGCCATCATCATTTGAGGGTGACTTAGCCCGTGCAAGAAGAAGGTGCTGGGCAGCGGCCGTGTGAAGAGCCGGAGCATAGCCGGGCTGGACATCACCACGTGACGAGGGGTGCCCGGCAATGCTCGACAAAGGGGGCAGGTGCGGTGGGAGAAACCTTCAGCATCGGACCAGCGTTGCGCGAGGTCCAGGAGGCGTGTGTCAGAAATGCAACCGCTCCGTCCAGCTTCCTCCAATCGCACGCAGCGGTAAGCGAAGGCTGAGATGTCAACCATCTGCGTGTCTGAGGGGAGCAACCAGCGGTGCCACTTAGCGGGGACCTGGAAGCGTGTGAACAACCGAATATCCAACCCGGGGCGAAACACGCCTGAAACGGACGCCAACTTGCCTTGGACAGTTCGTTGCTTCCACTTGGCCACGGCTTCAGTCCGCAGCAGGCGGCGAAAGAAGGCACGAGAAGGGTTGGAGATCGCTTTGCCTTCAAATGAGAGCTGGAAGGCCGGACCCCCAGATGGCCACCAAACATCAGCCGGGCAAGGCAGATTACATGCCTCTCCACACTGGGTGTCTTGACTTTCATTGCCTTGTACAATGAAACTGTTGGGAATCGGAGAGTCTGTCTGATGGCTCTTAACATCAATTCCAACTAACCCATGTTCCGCGAAGGCGATGCGGCATAGTGTGATGGACCTGCCATGGGAGTCTTGTTGGACATTCCACCTGCCGGGGAAAGATAGCTGGTGAGAGCGCCAGCACGGCATAGGCACCAGGTTGGACCAAGCAGACTTTAGTGCCCGGATGACCGCGTGGACCCTGGAGACTAGATGTTGGCAGGACCTGGCAAGTACGGACTTGGAGGAGACAGTGAACTCCACAGCCAAGAGCGGAAAAAGCGAGGAACGGTCCAGCACTAAGAGGGTCCAATCACAGACGCGACACCAGCGTAGAGCAGAAAGCATGCCCATTAGTTCAGCAGCGTGGATGCCTACACTCTCCCAGCCGTACCTGCGGGGCAAACGGGAGGATAGTTGCGGTCCAACTGCACCTGCACAGAACGAGTCACCCTGCCCCAAAGAGGACGCCCGGGCTTGGCAAGCAAATGTGCAGCAGGAGGTCCCGCGAGCGCCTCCGTCGGCAAAAAGTGCTATTTGTTCGCCCGGCAAAACAAGTTGAGCTGAGTCCAAGTGACGACTGCACGCATCATTAGATGTGTCATGGGGATGCTCCCACGTTTGTGCCCCCTAGTCTTCTGAGCAATGAGCTGGAGCTACATGGAAGAAGATGCATTCGGTGCTCCAGTCGGAGGAGGACTGGGCTTGGCAGGCCACAACGGCCTTTGCGCAAAGTTCAGGAGATACGGGACAGGAGGCGGGCAGCCCTCTCCAGTGATCCACTTGACCCCAGGTTTCAGGGGGTATACCACGTGCCGACAAGGAGTGCAGAATTCCCCGCAGCGCATTGGCGACAGGACGTATACGCGGCAGTACTTAGCCATGCAGTCGACCTTTCGAGAGACGAATGTACCTACGAGGCTGGCAGGAGAAAGGTCCTGGGCCTGCACAAGGTGATCTAGCAGGCGGCAGACGGAGCGCTCCGTCGATGCATTGAGGAAGACTCCATACCCGGCCAGGAGCCGCATGGCACGCACTACCAGGTACGGGCACCTTTCTGCAGCGTCTGGTTCCATGTGCATTGCTTCCCGGAGTGAGTCGCGAGCCATTTGCCCGGCTAAACAGGAACTGTTCAGAAGGCGAACTAACTCAGCAGAGACCGCACCTAGAAGTGTTTCAACAAAAGAGTGCAGCTGGAGCCCCCCCAAACGACGCGGGGCGAGTAGTCCGACACGTTCGGCAGTGCATCGAACTCCTAGTGCGCGGAGGAGGAGGGGCTGCAAGGCTGTATCGTGTTTGTGCATTTGCTTCCTGGAGCGCCCAATGTGCTCCATTTCGACATGGACCCCCCAGGAAATTGGTTAAACCAAAAAAAAACATACGCGGGCACAAGGCCAACAGAAAACCAATTACTTATGATTCATCATCAACATCATGTGATTCCTTGAAACTGTGCTCGGTATCAAGCTGCATGTACGAGAAGGCCCCTTTCAAACCTGGATGCCTCAGCATCTCTCTGCCTGTTTGCATTCCAGCAAGGCATGTGCTTGGCATGGAAGTGCACATGTGTGAATTCAGATAGATGCGACATAAATCAGGCAGCTTTCAAAGAGCTGTGTTTGATAAACATGACCATGCATGCATGTGGCGGCCACATGCCATCGGTCCATTGGTGGATGGACGGTCCGGGGCCCGGCCGAAGGTGTGAGTGAAGGCGGCATGCAGACTTGTCGTGCTCCCGGAGGGTTTTGGCTTGGGCTGACAGATTGATTGAGTAGCCGAAGCTGCCATGGCAGCTAGAGATAAGAATGCCGCTTTGGCCCCAGTGCCTGCCTTCCTCCGAAAGCATGGGGATGAAACCATCTTTGATGTTCGCCGCCTTATCAAGGACTGCCTTGTCGACTGTGTGTGTGTGTGTGTGTGTGTGCACATGTGTGCTGATCATTGAAGAATCAGACCAAGAGGGCGCATAGGGGTCAAGGGGCGGGGGACATGCATGTGTGTGGGCAGCACTGCAGTAGCGGACTTACGTCTGGCAGGACGTCCGCTCGCATCCTGCGTGTGTGGCCAAGGCAAGAACGGGGTCCATCATCGCCTACCCGGTGAAAGAAGGGATTATCAATGAGAAGACGTTGAAAAGCAACCACGACCTTCTTTCCCTCTATGCCTGGTTCGTCAGGAAATACCCAAAGCTTTACAAGTCCGTTACATTGCACAGGGCTATCTTGAATGATTGTGCAAAGTTCTGGAAGGGCCGTGCAGGCGAGGATGCCTTTGAGTATACGAAGTGGAAGCCTGATGGCAAGGCCATCAAGTCGATGACTTTGTGCCTTCGCCGGCTTCGCTACCGGTCCAAGAAGCAGAGGGATCTTGATATTTGTCTGCTTGCCGAGTCTTGGTTGGAAACAGGTTTGTCTAGTGCAATGATTCGGTGGATGAACTATTGCATGGTTTGTGGTGTGACGCATTACTGCATGTGCAGAGTGACGCACCCAATCATGCATGATGTCATTCCTTCCTTCATTCATTCATTGGCTAGTTTGTTCTAGCAGTTCATGTACCTATGCATGCAGAGGCTACAAAAGCTCAGTCTGTGACACTATATCTTTCGTGTGCCCATGCCTGAGAGACACGTAGATGCGAATCCGTATCTGAGTAATCATGATAGGTAGTGTGTATACATACTGTATATATGTACAAATATAGTAACATACACTTGCACACACACACACACACACACCTTTAAACACGCACACACACACACACATGCTAGTGTATGCATGTCTGCAGGTGTACCATCATGTCTGATCCCAGCTGAGGATGAGATGTTTGGGGAACCAGACCGTGGGGACGATGAGGCTTCAGAGCCCGAAGGTGACGAGGATGACGAGGCCTCCCAAGCTTCGGAGGAGGAGACCGGCGATGTGCAGGGTCCCTTTGATGTGCCGGCTGATGACACAGCTGTCGATGCTAATCCCTTGGACATGGAGGCTGATGCAGCTATTGGCCCCAATCCCTTGGACGTGCAGGCTGATGCAGCTATCGGCCCCAATCCCTTGGACGTGCAGGCGGATGCAGCTGTGGACCCCAATCCATTGGGCGTGCAGGCTGATGCAGCTATCGGCCGCAATCCCTTGGACGTGCAGGCTTCAGTGGCTATGGACCCTTTGGAGTGGGCTTCTCAGCGGTCACCTGCTGTGGTGGCAGAGGTTGTCTCGAGTCCCGAGGCGGTTCAGAGCAGGGAGGATTTGGCAAAGGAGCAGCTGCAAGAGCGGTTGCGAGCCCTCAAGAACATGATGGTGCTCAAGCGCGAGGACACGCAGCTGGTGCCGCCGGATGTCCTGGATCAAGCTGCGAACAGGCTGAGGTCTTTGCCATCGTACGAGGCGAGTGATGCATGCAAAGTAGAAGTTTTTCAATTTGTAAGGTTTGCAACATGTGTTTTAAAGAAAGGAAAATTAGTCCTGTGACAGGTACTTTCCGTTGGCTCCCAGAGGTCCCTGGCCCATGGCTTGCATCGTGCTGCTCCACTTGCTTCTGAGTCCGGTGCGAGTGGGTCCTCTGCTGGTGTGTGGCTGGGCCAAACTCAATGTGCAGATGGGTGCCGGGTTGTGAGTCTGTGAAAGCTCTTGTGCTATATCGTACTAGAAGGTTGTATGTGGTTGCATACACGACACTCATATGTAGTGTAGTATACTCCTGAAAACGTACATGTGTTATATCGATACGTGCATGGAATAGAAGGGTGTGCAGCATGCAAGGTTTCATAGGTTCCGTACATATTCGGGCTTACTTGTTGGTTGGAGTGCGGTTTCGACGATTTGAAGTCCCAAAGGTTGCAGCCCTCTCATGACACCAAGCCCGGAGCCATCGTGATCGAGGAGACCATTGAGCGGGGAAGGCTGTTCCGTAGGCCTTCGACCAGTGACATGGAAGGGCTTCGCTGCAACTTGGAAACCAAGTTTGCCGTCGAGGCGGCAACGGGTACCCGTGACGAGTTGCAAGTGATTGCAAGACCGCTGGCAAGTTCAAAGATGGGTTCTATTATGGGGCCGGGCACACGAGCCTCAAATCCGGATTCCATCCCAAAGCCTTGTGGCACACAGCAGGTTTCAACCCTAGAGCCGAGTGAGAAGGATCCCGCACTAGACTTTCGTGTGCCCTCCCAGAAGCCTTCCGCTTCAGAGCCTTGTGTGGTCTCCGAGAAGACTTCCACCCCAGACGCTTGTGTGGCCTCCGACAAGACTTCCACCCCAGATGCTTGTGTGGCCTCCCAGAAGAAGTCTAAGAAGCCACGTAGGGACTCCCAACAGGATGCCGGCCCCTCCCAGACCGCCATGAATGAGGCCAACTCCCTCCCAGAGCCTGTCAAGGTCGCGGAGAAGGATCCCCTCCCAGAGCTTTCGGATGGGAACGCAGCAGGTTGTGCAGCCGATATTCCGGAGGTTCCTCATAGCTTTACTAGGGTTGAGCAGAGGATGTTGCGGAAGCAAAAGGTGGCAGCTCAGCGGAAGCGCAAGCATGGCGAGGATCAGCCCCACGACGAGGCTGAGGGTGAGGATTCAGAGGCACCAGAGCCACGTGGACGTGGCCGTGCTCGCGGTCGGGGAGGCCGCGGTCGCGGTCGTGGTCGCGGCCGCAGTGGAGCCGTCAAGGATGATGAGGAGAAGCCTTTGCAGAGCCTGAGCCGCAGCCGTAGCCCGGCTGTGATGAAGCGGCCAGCTGCGAAGGGGCAGGTGTCTACTATGGTGCCAAAGAAATCGGCGGAGCCCAAGAACAAGGCCAAGGCTGTTAGCGAGGTGCCTAAGAAAGCGGCCCGGCCGAAGACGAAGCCGGGGGCTGCCAGCGAGGCGGCTGATCGCGAGAATGGTGCATCCCTGCAGGATCTATTGAAGCTCGTGTTGGACGGGTTGCCCCTACTCAAGGCCCAGGCTGCTGATATGGTCAAGCTGCGTCCGGACTACAACTCACGAGATGTACTCCCCATCGCGGTGGAGCGCCGAGGCCCTTTGAAGCAGATTGCCGGCTGCACACAGCTATCGCATGTATAAGGTTCTTGCATGCATGTGTACTTAGCACGATATTCCACAAGGCTTTCAGTTGATATGGCTTTGACCTAGGACCTTTGACAATTGCGCCAACTTCAAGCTCGAGCCCTATTGGACTCGGTCCCACTGTGGCATTCGCTACACACCATTGGGAAAGCACGTCCTGGTGGTTACGTATGCTTCTATGGCCGTGAACATCGCCTACTGCAATCATGTGGCAGCCTGACTTGATGGTGTTGTTCGTATGGCTGTTGATGTAGAGTAGTCCGTGCACATCTATAGACTACACAACATCATGCATACGGGTGTCTTTCATGTTCTTTTCATGTGTCATAGAAATACCCATGCAGGTATCATGTGATTTTTTTGGCACAACTGTTGGCTTTCCGGGTGCTTATCGTGCTGGAAATGGCACCCATTAAGTCTGTTACCCACCCATGTATATTTATATGTACACATACATACATAGGATAGCCCTACAACAACCCTAGAACCCTACAACCCCTGCCATGGGCACAGGTTTCAAGTGAGAAGGCTGTTCCGCGGTTTCGGGGCGGATAGAGTGCATGGGTGTAGAAGTTTCTGAATTTGCAAGTTCTATACACCCTTTACAAGGAAACCAAGCCATAACTTGAAATGGCTCTATATAACATTAACAATATCCACCCCACTATAAACTACTGCAGAGCCCTAGATCCATTTAGTCCTGAAGAGCCATAGCTGTATATGTTACTTCCTATACAGGACCCTACGAACCCATTCTGGGATTTACCAGCCTTTCAGGGTTGTGAGCCAGGATGTCACAGGGATCTTGGGATCCAGCATCCAAAGCTATCTACGATAGCCTGATGTGTGTTTGTGTGGGGTTACCCTATAACCTTAATTAATTTGGACCCACCCCTATTGAATCATAGACTGGAAACAAACCAATGCAAAGTACCTGCAAGCCTATAATACTTGACAGGAACCGGGTTAGGCCCGCTAAGCCCTAGCTATAACCACATATGCACCCGTCGTCAGAACAAGTGTTGCCG